TATGAAAACGAATGACTAAAATCGACACCTACACAGTAGTCTACACAAGTTTAAACAATCGCAATCACCGGATACTAGATATGTTTTACGTTTGGTTTGCCAAAACGATGTTTATGTGTCCGTATTTGGTAGAGAAATGGTTTTATGGTCTTAGATCTTTAGATACCAAAAAAGTTGTCTGATCTGGATGTATACCGATTGTGTCGTATTATCTAACGTGATATTTTGGATTTGTATTGCGTTTTCTGCATGCACATCTGGAGACGCTAACTCTGTAGATGCATCCGCCCTTCCGCTCCGTTTGGAGAACATGGGGTTCCCTCAGTTTTGAATTTAATTATCAAGATTTGTATATTCTTAAAAGATTTGTGAAATGTAGATATCGGTTTACTATTGTAGTCTCAATTTTTTGTTTACTATAACAGGCGTTTATAGAAATACGAAGAAGTGGTATGAGTGTCAATGAGACAACTCTCCATCCATGTCACAATGTGTAAAAAGTAAACAATTATAGGTCAAAGTACGGCCTTCAACACGGAGCATTGGTTCATACCGAACAGCAAGCTATAAAGGGTCCCAATAAATTACTAGTGTAAAACAATTCAAACAGGAAAACCAACGGTCTAATCTGTATAAAAAACGAGAAACACTTAAGAACCACATCAACATATGACAACCACCGAAACAGGTTAACAACTCATCAAAGATATCCTTTGCTACGAGAGACTCGCGTTTCGTCCACCTAAGACTCATCAGAAGCGCTTGAATCAAGACAGCTAGAAGGCCAAATCGAATACGAAGTTGAAGAGCATTAAAACCGAAAATTCCGACTAAGGTACTTGCAATCTGTATCTAGGGGGTAGAAAATCCTAGTTAGCCTAACTTTCAGATTTCTTTAACTTTTGTATGTATTATATTATGTGCTTAGGTTTTAATGTTTGAATGTTGTTTTGTTTGTTTTTATGCTTTTTGGTTGGTTTTTTGGGTTATATATATATATATATATATATATATATGTATGTATGTATGTATGTATGTATGTATGTATGTATGTGTGTGTGTGTGTGTGTGTGTGTGTGTGTGTGTGAGGAAGGGGGTAGTTCGGAGTTTCGCGCGTGTGTGTGCAAGGGGGGTCATGACTAAATGTGTTTTGTCATCCATTCGATATTTGAAAGGGCGATAATTTCAGTGGAAAGGAAGATAAAAAACGAAAGTAGGATAAATGTAGGAATCATACAACCAAACTAATTCGTTAAGTTTTGTTTCTTGCAAAGTCTTATTTGATCAAATAAATATTAGAACAAATAAATGTACTGTGAATGATTATATATAACTTCAAATAGTTGTTGTTGTCACATGTGATCTATGAGTTTGACTGTCCCTCTGGTATCTTTCGTCCCTCTTTTAAGTATATAGCGGTAAACATAAAGTATCAAATTACGTTGATAATTCTATATAAATGCCATAAACTTGTCTGAGAGAAATACACATCAATCTGAGACAGATCGAGTCAAATGAAAAACAAAATTAAAACCTCAGACAGGGTCTGAGAAAAAACAAACAACTCACAGAGACACAAAACGTTGATTCTTTTTTCTAATAGACTTACGTAGGTGATATTTGAGGTATATACATCTCAATATGTGACAACTTTATGACAGACGTTCTGGTTAAACAATGCTAACACCACAAATTGCAAACAGTTCGTCTGAAATGTAGCCCAACAATGTTATATCTATGAATTCAGCGGCAGCAGATATTATTCCTACCCTCAGCATGATTTGAACCCATGCTTCTTTGGCATTGTTACCACACCTCTTTCATTATGTCCAACACCTTAGACTCGGCCAACTAGGCTATATAAAGTATAGATTTCGTTAGTAGAGTAATGCCTTTCTTCGCCGGCTTTATCAAAGATTTTAACACAAGACATGATGCGATGTATTGTGGCATGTAGTAATTCGGTTAATGCCTTTTCTCGTCACCTTTAGCTAAAATTGTAACACGGAACATGACCCATGAGTTACCTTAGCCTTTGATATATATTTCATATCATTGATAATAAACTCCTCATAAGTCGAATACAAAAACAGACAATACCACGATCGAAAAAACCCAACAAAAAACAAATAACTGCCTACGAAACTCAACACAGAAAACTAGAAACTGAGCAACACGGACCCTGCTAAAAGTCGGAGTTAATCTGAGGTGCTTTGAATGGGTAAATAGATCATGTCCCTCTAGTCGAATCCCTCATGGCAATTATAAATATCCGTGATAAAGAAATGCATCGAAGATACGTAAGTTGTAAAACTTTTGCCTCAAATAGTTGCGACCTTAATGTTTATGTAAAATTGCATCATTTAAATCATTCAATACCAAAAAGACTGACAATAGTACTGCAGAAAAACAGACCGAATTTTACTCATGTAAATTTCTGGTAATACATGTAATTCAGTGAGCAGACCAAGTGGTTCTGGCATAATCTTTATCAATAATATGCATGATCATACGTATGGAAGACTTAACATACAGAGCGTTTTTGACAACTAACATCAACGTGGGTCAAACAGAACAGCAATTCCTTTAAATGTATGAAAGAGTTGCAACTTCAGTTCAATCATTTACTACATTTTTGTTCTTATAGTCAAAAACTTTAGATTACAGTAGAAATGTATCTGTGAAAGCATGCTAGTACCGATGTTTCTATAAAATCCGAGTTTTTTGTTTGTTAATTTTACCAAATAACATCCGTAGATATGGAGAATTTTAATGCTAATACAACTGCAAACCAAATATTATGACTTTTCATAAGTGTTTTCATTTAAACTGACCTAAACACAATTTTTTGAACATTTAAACTATGCAAAAGTTTGAAAGTCAATGAACTATGATGAGAGGGCAAGGTCACATAATCTTCATGGAACTTGGACGTGCAAATGATAAAATATAACTGCATACCAAATATAATTGACTTACTATTGGTGGTTCATCTAAAATTGACATAATTACAAACTTAAATATAAAAATTATGCAAACTTTTCAAGGTCATTGAACCATGATTCAGGAGTGATGCCAAATAACCTCTAAAGATATTAAATATGCAATGATTATAAACTCAATACCAAATATCATTGACCTACCACAAGTGGTTCTCTTAAATGATCTACTGTAAGCTCGAACGGATATTATTGAAGCCGTCACCGGAAACAGCACGCCTATGTCTCGCATTTTCGACTTTGTCGAGGCGAGACCGAAAATGGTGTTATCCTTTAAATATCTGAAATATAGATAATGTCATAGATGGCCACGAAAAAATCCCGTGCTTCTTTCAAGATATTTGGTTACCAGAAACAGCTTTGTCATCTGGCACACCTGAGGTCCTTCCCTGTTCGTTTTGTTCAGTCTTTAATTTAAGGATTGTTGTTTTGTGGATAATTGCTAGTTTTGATAATTTCTTATTCTGATCATTGCTCAATTACTGTTTCATTTATGTCCCTTTAAACTTTAAATGAGTGTATGCTATCTAATTAAACGCAATATTTCTGCCTTATATCATGAATTTCCGATTATTATCGTTGAAATTAGTAGAAAATTTTGGAAAAATATAGTTATGCTATCATATGATCCTTGATTTTACAGACTATGAGATGGTATTGGGTGTTTCTTAAAACACTTTCAACAGATACTGTCAAGACGAAACGCTCAAGACGTCAAATGATTTAAACAATTGGTGGAGATAAACAAACCGAAATAATTTTTCAACAATTTTACACAAGAGAGATACATGAACAAAGACGATACTTATGGTAATAAATAGCCGCACGTGAATTCAAGAATGACAACAACAAAGCTAAAAGACAAAAAAACAGATAGTAGTCTAACTTAATTTCTAACATTTATATTGTTCTGACAATTGTAATTAGAATACTGACTGAGTATTCAATACGTCATATAAAACATACCAGCACAGAAACAAACGATTGTTTTTAAATTACTACGTGTATGAATTGAAAGAAGATTTTTTGGAATGCGTTCGTGACAAGTAACATTATATCAGGCTTTGGGAGATTCTGGAAAATCGGTGAAAAAAATATTCAAAGAGATTATTCAAGATCTTCATACAAGTTGTCGTATTTCTACGATGTTCAAATCTTGTAAATCTATTAGGAATACACAAATCAAGAGGAAAAAAGAGCAAAAAATAGGGGCATTACACGAACTCAATATAGAACGAAACCGAAGGCGTGCATGCATCAGCAGCAAGGGAAATGTACACTAAGTGAAAATGTCACAAAAGGTTATAGGGATAAATAAGACGACATTTTTGTTTTCTACTAAATATCAGCTACCATTTGAACATGTCTCCTGTGAGGTAAATTAGTTCATGTTTATGACGGTAACAGCTGTGTAATGTCGATTAAAGTCGTTCTTTCTCATGTTCTTCATGAAGTTACAAAAGAATTATAAAGGAATTTCGATCTTGAGCAACCGAAAAGATTTCAAAACAGAATATCAATGTCTAAAACAAAAGAAAACAACCATCTAAGTAGTTGTAAAACAGCAGATCCGAAAATACGTGACTTTAACAAAAAAAAGTAGAATAATTAAGAACTATGCAGCTCTTTGTTTGGTCTAATCGCCAGTTTCGTGCAGTAGGATCTTATACCCTCTTGTCCATTTTTTTTATGGTAGAAAACCCAAAATAATCGACTCATTTTGATACACCCACAATTCTTCTGTCAGATTTAAATAGTGTATAGTATTATTGTGTTCAGGTGTGTAATATATTCTATCCGTTGCAATTGCAATGTAAGAAACGCCTGTGTTTAAGATTTATAATTTATAATTTCTCGAGACATGCGAGTCTTAAATGTTAATACGATCAAAACAAGCAAATAACCAACCTAATTTGCATCATAATACTTTTAAAATAACGCAAAAATAATACGTCAACTCTGATACATAGCATAATCTGTAATTCAACGAATGTGAACAAGTGTTAAATGATATAAATAAAAATAAGAATACAGTTCTTTGATTCGTGATCATCGTCAGCTTATGGCGATTAAATGTTTCAGATTTCAGTTCATTGCAGTCTGTTTAAATCATATACTCGAATACATTTCAAAACATTTTTCAAATTTGTACTCTTTTGTGTGATAAAAAAAAAATCGTATCTGGTTTATTTTATGACAAAGTTGGAACGATTGAAATCCAGCAAGCGAACATCTAGCAGTTCCAAATCTTCGGAATTTTTAAAAAGTTCTCAAGTTTTTCAAAGGAAAGAAATAATTCAATAAATTAATGTGACAGAATGGCGGTTTTGCAAGTCTTGCAAACTAACCAGAGAGTGTCATATAGAGGTTAATTAACCTACAATAACTTTGTACACTGCAGCAGTCCCGTCTTCCTCAGTACATACTAATAATTCTTTCCTATCTGTGCTGTAGTATACAGCTCTTGGATTTTTCAACTCGCCAGTTCCTTGCAGTAGGATCTTATTCTCTTGTCCATTTTTGTTTATGATAGAAAGATTATTAGATTAATAACCTACAACAAAAACGTCCTGGTTGTCAGCTACAGCAATCCCTTTTGGCAAAGCAATAGATTCATTTTGATACTCCCATATTTCTTGACCTGTTAGACTTAAGCAATGTATAGTGTTCTTTCTTTCGTTTGTGTAGTAAATTCTATCCTTTGAGGTCGCAATGTTACTCACGTATCTAAAATCTATTGTCACTGTGTATAAGATTTTCCCTGACAGTTCTAACACAACTATTCCCATTTCTTCCATTACCACATAAAGTTTACCATGTCGGTAGGATATTCCTTCACACTGATTTGTGGTTCTTATCTTCTGCACTTGTGTGATGCTTAGATGAATAATTTCAATTTTATTCATACTAAAGTAGGTGACAGCAATTTGATCAGGAGCTATCAATGTTGAATAATACGGATCACCAGAACAGGAAATGTATCGGACGAACTGACCTTGCCCATCATATTCCATTATTCGATTCCCTTTTAAAATGTCTAATATTAAAATATTACCATTATGTAATATCAAGCATCCAGTCACACCTGAATCATCTGCTGATCTCCCAATTCTTACTTTCTGTTTCAGTTGTAAATCTATTACTAGATTACTACTTCCTGCATGTACAGCTATATGCTTTTGAGCTTGATCGAGTTTTACATCTTTGAATTCTAACCTAGATTTTTTTTCTGTAAGTGATACTATTCCAAGCTCATTGTCGATTTCAAATAATGAGGTAACTGAAGGGTTAATCTCTAATTTGATTTCAAAATATTTCGTACTGCTTAATATGCTTTTTATAGATTTTATTTCTTCAGAAACAGTTTTGTTGATTTCACGCGTTCCAAGGAAGACTTGGACATCTGATGCCATTTGTTTCATAGTCCCGATTTCTCTCTTTAGCTGATTTAGTTTTTTATCTGCTAGATACAACTGATGAAGAACTTCACCGTATGCCGATTTACAGTTGACATTTTTTGTCGAAAGATTTTGTATCAATTTTTGTTCCAATAGATCTAGATGTTGGTTCAGCTTTTCTCGCGTTTTCTGTATAGTTTTCTTGATGAGACTTTCTTGTTTGTCAAATTCGATACCACTCTTTTCTTGGTTTTTGATACATTTACCGACATTATTTAACGCTCCACTTATGGTATCTTCTAAATCTGCAAGGGCAGTTGACTGTTTAGCATTCGCTGCAACTTTATCTAATGACACAAGCTGTGAGCAACTTTTGTGCTGATCAACACAGTCAATGCAGAGAGGTTTGTCGTGTAAGGAACAGTATAGATCGTATCTTTTTCCATGTCCTACGCATGTTTGGCTTATAGAAACATCTTTTATTTTTTGATAATCTGAAACAGATATTAGCTTATGATTTCTGGACATCTTAGTAGATCTGTGAACCTTTTGACAGTCCTCGCAAAACCCTTCTTCACAACTAGTACACCATTTCTTTGCATTTTTTGTGTTGTCTTCATATCCACAAGGACCACATAGAATTTTGGTTGACATTTTCCTGAATAAAAAAAAACGTTTATAAAGCTGTAAGCTAACATTGGTATGTTAAGGATAAAGACTTAGTTAAATTTTCAAAAGCTTTCTTACATAAAAAAAAAAGTATTACCCCTGTGATACAAAATGTATGCTTACCTTTCTGTCAGTGTTATACTAATGTTATAATGATATAGGGATTTTCCTGTGGTTAACAACCTCGTTTGTTGCCATGTCCCGTAAGCTTCACTACGAGGAAAAAGATTGGTAACATTGATTAACACCTAAAAGAGGTTCTCTGTAATAAAAAGAATAAAAAAAATATAAACAAGTAGGAAATACTTTTTATTCTTTTTTTTTGTCTTAAGCGCTCATTATTCCAAACCCCAGATGATAAAAAAATACCAGTAACCCATCTGTCAGCTGTGAGAGTGCCTCAATGAAAGATTTGTAGACATTGAGAGAGAGAGAGAGAGAGAGAGAGAGAGAGAGAGAGAGAGAGAGAGAGGAAAAAGATAGATGCGATATTTATTCAAGATCGATACACATTGGCTGGTGTTTTATCTATACGGATTCAACTGGGATTTCGGTTATGTGAGTCTGAACTAAATGACATATTATATATACGTCAATGAGTTAATGAGTTAATGAGAGAGTAACCTGGTGACACAAATTACCAAGACATTTAAATGTAGATGGCATCATGCAGTCGTGCCATGTATGATTCGTTTAGTGAAATACACTGCTAGGGATTGAAGTGTGACTCTTATTAATTTGTTTTGTGATATGGTATGTTTGTAAATGAACTAATCTTTTTATATTACATTTCTTTGTATTAATTCATGCATTGGGGAATATATTGTTTTGCATTGAAATATGGTTTGATCTGTGCTTATTGTTATGTTCTGGTATGTTTTGATTTATTTTGTGTGATGTCTTTATGTGTATTAAATTGTACTTTTTTGATGTAGTGTTAACGTTTTTGTTTGTATTTTGTTCTATGTACTCGTGGAGGAAGTCTATGCTTGGTTCAGTTTTACATACAATTTGACTGGGCATAACGAGAAGTTACTTATTTATGTGTAATACCATTCTTAAATATACATATTGCCTACAGGAAGAATTGTAATATACATCAAATATGGAAATCCCACATGCACAGCTACATCATTTAAGAAAAAGGAAATTTTAGAAAGTCACAAATCCGTCATTTTTTTTTTCCTTTTGTCTTAACATTTTATAATGAAAGAAGGCCTTTAAAAAAATTTGTGAAAGGGTATACTCAACAATCGGTGTCAATTAGAGTTCTGAACATCTACTCAAAAATTTTCAATCGCAGACATTACAATTTATCGCTACTACGAAAATATCCTTTTTTAGACTGGTACCCGGCCGTTATTAATCTCTGTATAGACATACTATATATTTTACGGAGGGGACCAACCTAACTATTTCAATGATCAATTTAAAGTTCGGCTACATCTTCGCATTCAAAAATGGGAATCGTAGATACAAGTTTCTCGGTTGATGTCAATAAAAATTTAACTTTTTGAAAATCCACACAAATTCCAACAACAAATAGGCCAAAGACGAAATTATCAAAATACTGGACTTTCTTTGAGACAACATATATTTTAAGTTCGGAGGATTGGATCTTCAACAAAAAGTTGGTATCAAAAAGGATACTAACTGTCAAACCTTAATGATCGACTTGTATGTACATGAAGAAGAAACCTCAAAAATAAGAACACCTTTCCAAGCTCTTCAATTCAACTTTCAGGTATATTAATAATGTCCTGTCACCAAAAAGTCACATGAAAGTGAGCATGCAGTAGATTTGGCATTGAGGAAATCATTGAACCGAAATTAGAAGGCTTACTTCATATTTGGATATTTTTTTCTTTTTGTTTTCTGATGATTTCAGCTGCATGTATATCTGGAGATATCCGTCGAGGCGACCGGACTTGCTCCGTTTGGAGTTCATATGGGATTCACTTAGTTTTTGGTTTATTCATCATGATTTGTATATTCTTAATGGATTTGCAAGCTTTGATCATCAGTAAACTGCTGATGCCTCAAATCTTTAAAAAATTAAAAAAAAAAAAATTTAAAAAAGCCTGTCTTTAGAAATCTTTATTTAAAACAAGTTGCTTTCTTTAAAAAAAGAAAAGCAAGACGTGAACCCGAGACCACTGACTGGTAACCAAAAAATGTTGCTTATTTTTTGTTTTTGGCTTTAGATTTGAAATAATTGACTGAATATAATAATATACCGATGATGTTAAAACACCTTTATTGAAAATATGTAATTGTGAGTAGATTCTTACACAAGTCAATTAAAAGCGATGTTGCACTTTAGTTGGAAATAGAGAAATGTATACAGCTACTATATGAATTTACCTTTTAAGACTTGACTATTTTATTTATTACTTTGGAGTGTACATCAGTTTTTCTTCGTGTTTAATATACATACAAAGTCCCAATCCTATTGCAATTCTTAGTTTCTGCAAACCGAATGTTTAAAGCAAATTGCACAGACCAATCGCAAAGATGTAAATTTAAGCACTGTTTGCTGAAATAATCTGGATGCATTTATTTCGTCTGTCATATCTTCATATTTTGTTTCCTTGATAGCTTCAAATATTTCTGATACTCATTATTGAAGGTGTCGTCTAAACTCACGGTAGATGTTGTATAGAGAAATGGAAAGTCCAATTTCCATGTGAAGTGTAACTCTGTGGCATGCAACTTATAACAATGTTTCGTATTTTAGTTTTGAGAGTAACACACCAGCTACACTGGGACCTCTTATAAACTGACAATTATTTCGGTCTATAAAAACATCTCAAATTTTAAGGATTTCCTGAAGTTACATTAATCAATCCAAATATTCTATGGGAAAAACTTAGTTCTAAAGAAGATTTATAAATACACAAATATGCTCTCAAAGGAACCAATTAATATAAAAAAAAAAGATATGTATCCTATGTAGATATATAAAAATGTATAGATACCAGTATTAAAATGTTGTACACCAGACGCGCATTTTGTCTACAAAGACTTATCAGTGACCCTTGAATAAAAAAAATGTTAAAAAGGCCGAATAAAGTAAAAAGTTGAAGAGCATTGAAGACCCACAATTTCGAAACAAAGGTTTTGCCAAATACATCTAAGGTAATCTATTTATTCCTTGGGAAGAAAATCTTAGTATTTTGAAAATTTCAAAGTTTATAATAGGACAGTCACTCAAACAAAAAGAAAAAGAAAAGAGAAACAGCTAGAGGTCAGAATACCTTAACTTGTGTTATTATACTTCACGTCAAAATGCCAGATTTTGATTGGATAGAGAATTTACTCTATCCCATGGCTCAGCGGGAGACAATTTTTTGAATGTCACCCTCTCGTGTAGACCAATCAAAAATCGATAATTTAAAGGACAATGAATTGAATTTACGTGAATAAATTAAAGAGATACTCAAGGTCTACGTTTTGGCCTCAGAAGAGCTTTTTTATAGACTGTCAAAATAAAAAATAATTGTCTTGCTTCACTTCTGTTGTTTTTCTAATTACTGTTACGTTGTTGTGTACGTGACGTGTCATAGTTAAGTACTTTCAATTCAAAATTTAACAGTAAAAGACAATAATGATTGAACATTCAGTATAATAGATTAAATAACACATAGCTGAGAGTGTGATAGAGCAGATGGGTACCCCTCGAAAAAGCATTGTCAACCTTGGCTTCGCCTCAGTTGACAATGTTTTCTCGGGGAAACAATCTGCTCTATCACCCTCTCAGCTATGTGCTATTTATATAATGACCATGATTCAACATCACATGTCCAGTTCTAACTGCCGTGTCCTGAATTTAGATAATAAATGCGAGTGAAATTAATATCTATGCATGCATGTGGTTTTCTTGCGCAGCGCAAGAAATAGAAAGTGGAAAGCATACGCACTGATACTCTGGATTATAATACGCATTTGCGTCATCACGTATATTCATTCTAGGGCTCAAATCTAATGCTAGCTTAATTCTGATGTCAAAGTACCTACCTCAAGTGTTTTGACTCCGGATTCATGGCCATTTAATCCGAAATTTGTGTAAACGCAAACCGATGTTGTGTCGTGTGAACAGGGTGTAATATAATGAAAATAAATCAAGACAGGTGTATGATAGCTGGTCAACACAATGAATACAAGGGGTCATTTTTAAAAGGGGGTTCCAACCATATGTCCACATTCTAAAGCATTGATCGTAAAAAAAAAGGGGGGGGGGGTTCCAACCCCCGAACCCCCGGACCCATCCCCCCCCCCCCCCTCCCGATCAGCCACTGAATACACAATTTTCGAAATAGCACCATATTGAAAAGATTAAAATGTTATGAGGTTAAACTATTAAAAACAAAACAAAAAGAATTGAAATTTAATTAACATACATTCCTGTTAATGAATCATTTCCGAAAATTTAAAAATGTAATATCAATAAAAACAAACATCAAGTATTTAATGATGGACAATTTAATTATTAAATCAATCTCTTCTTCAAGTCTGACTTTCCATTATATGAATATATTGCTATACAAAATATAAGCAGAGACTTATAAAACCATATATACTAAAACGAAATTGAATCATTAACATAGTAATTAAATGATAATTGTAAAATATTGCATACGTTTTTTTGTGAGATGCAAGGATTTAAAATACTACAATGTGTACGCATCCCTGATAGTTGGTGCTAATATGTTGCATATAATTTTCATAAATGTATTCACTGTTCAGACATGTCGGACATAATATAACATTATACATTATATTCTATTAATGACAAATATAGTCTCAGTTTAAACTTAATAATGTTAATGAATATTTTCTTGGTCTGTTAGTGTATTTTAATGAAATTAAATATTTTGACAGAAATATTGTTTTGTTTAATTATAATTATGCTTTCCGACCCTAAGATACATATTTATAACAGTTTATTATGAGACATAATATATTAGTATACTATTCCCAGATGTATTAATCTTACACACAGAACGCACACAGGGGTCGTCTCAAAGCATGAATTATATAATTGCGTTATCATTATACTTGATATTTAATAAACATTCTGATTATGTCGCATTATTAAAACGCATATGTTCTACCAAAAAGGCAAGTAGGTGGCAATATATAAATGATTTTTTATTGCAATCGAGTCTTTATTTTTTAATTTTCCGATCTACAAATGAACTTCGATTGTTGATCATTGTTGAACTATACAATGTCACGTGGTAGCCTATCCATAGAGGGACCGTATCAAAGACATAAACAACTTCATGTATAAATGATCGAAACTTCGAGACGTTCCGAGAATCTTGTTTCCAAGGATATCAAATGGCCCATAGAAGCTTCCAAAACTCGCCAATATATGCTTGAACCCCTCAGGGGGGTCACGTATCAAGGAGTTCACGCAAAAAATGTGTATTTAATTATATAATGTGTTAAGTTTTTAAGTTTCAATGTTTTTGTTTTTATGCTTTGTTTATTTGTTTTTGATTGTGCTTTTTGGGGGATCGTATGTGGGAATTTGGGGATGGGGTGTTAAAAAGTGTTTTCACAACCTATCAACATTTTAAAGGGCGATAATTCAATTGACCTAGTGCAAAAACGAAAGTAGAATCAATGTAGGAATAATATTTAAAAACTGGTAACTTTTTTTTCTTGCCACGTCTTATTGGATCATACGGCAATGTGCATAATACAACACTATTTCAATATTATCATAACCTATCAGAGAACATCCAAAAACTACCCGGATGATGAAAACAATAAATATTAGTACAAAATACTTTGAATGATTACATACATATATATGTAACTTGAAATAAATACGGTAATCGAGAAATATTCAGAATAATAAAACTTGATAAAGATAAAAAATAAGACAAATTTAAGTACAAACCTGAATTACCGTTACGGTATTTCAAATTGACAGTATGTCGGTACCTGGAAACAGAGACATAGCAGGAAATAAACTTCTGATTCACTTAAAATCATGGCAAGATAACACAGGTTGTTGTTGTCACATGTTACGTATATATCGCGGTAAATTTAAATATCAAATCACGTTCATTAATTTGACTTCATCCCATTCTTTATTCTTTAATTTCTAAGACCATTTTTTCTCTATTCTTTACATATTTTGCCCATTAGGCCAACATTAAAAATATCTTTGTTTCCCCTCCCCTGACTGAGGTTGTCAGGATATGGGTAGGTAGGTAGGCAAATTATTTTATTTTATTTCTTGATATGGTTTTTCTATATTGAATTTGTACAAAATTCAACAGGTAAGGCTCAAGTCAAGAAAAGTTGGGTATTCCCTGTATTCAGTGTACACCCCAGTTTTCTGGTGTTAAAACAGTATACAGGGAGGGACCTCCTTTTTTTCCTTATTCATTTTATGGTATGAAATCTACAAAAGCGCACATTCTACATGTGATAACAATGTTTAATGATAGCAAGTGTTTTATTAGTTAAAAATCAAGCTTATTTCAAGTCTACTTTGATGCATAACTCACAACAAAACCATTCCTTTGTTCACCAATTCATACCTTGATCATCAATTATGAGATGACAAAAAGATATGTTAATCACTTGGGAATTAAAATTCAATGAATAAAAATTTTCAATAGAAGTGAACATAATTCAGTTATGTTCAGTTACACCTGGATCATGCAGTTTGGTCAATTGATTCATAAACAAAAGATTTGTATGTTTTTTCGACTGGTTCTAGAAAAAACAAGGCTTCACTTATTCATGTTTTGTTGTTCCTAGAATACTTTAAGTATTTACAAAATTCAACTGATGCAGTTATAACGTTAAAACGTGCCCTTTTGTAAATTTCATGCCATAAATTGAAAAATGAAATCACATTTAAACTGGTTTTTTTTACACCAGAAATCAGGGACGTTCCCTGAAAGCAGGGAATACATGTATCCCACATTTCCTGACTTATGCCCAACCTGTTCGAAGACAAAGTAGATAGATTTCAAAGCACGATTCAGACCATTTTAACTCAAAGATTTTATTCTTTAAACAGGAACAGAGGTTAAAGACAAAGCAAATCAAGGTGCACTCAGTGGGTTGAAAGATGCTTCAGATTTTTTATTTTCAAAGATCACCCTTGCACACAACACAAATAGGGGGGGGGGGGGGGGGGGGGGGGGGGGTTAGAAGGGGTCCTGATCCCGAAACCTCGGGCTTAAAACATGAAATCCCGAGGTCCCGAATTTAAAGAAATTTAAATCCCGACATCCCGAAATTCGAAAAAAAAATCCCGGATCCCGAAAGGATCAATCCCGAAATCCCGAGCTTAAAAACACCCGATCCCGGAGCCCCGATAAAAGAAATTTAAATCCCGACATCCCGAAATTCGAAAAAAGAATTCCCGGATCCCGAAAGGATCAATCCCGAAATCCCGAGCTTAAAAACACCCGATCCCGGAGTCCCGATAAAGGTCCGACCGTCGGTCGTGGGAGGGGAAACAAACAATAACAATAACTCAACATGCAGATATCTTATACGTTCGGGTATTTCACATCCAATCTTTTATGGTAATATTCTTTACAAAGCACAAAAATGTCAGTATTCACCTCAAAAGCTAACACAACCTTTAAACAGACGTATTAAGAAGGGATATAGTTACGATACTGTTGTCAGGTCATTAAAGATTGCATATTTTGGCTTTAATATTAATTCACTTATAGGGTCTTTGCGTCGGTGTTAAACACATTTATTCTGAAACCAGTTAATTGTTGGCATGACACGGGTTATGTTCTTCTCATATATTTTATGACGTTATAATACTAAACCCCTAACAGGAGGGATTGTGCCTGATATTCATATGATGAAGACATAATCTTTTAATCAGTTTAATTGAGGTCTGGAGCTGGCATGTCAGTAACTGCTAGTAGTCTGTTGTTATTTATGTATTATTGTCATTTTGTTTATTTTCTTTTGTTTCCTATTCTGACATCGGACTCGGACTTCTCTTATACTGAGTTTTACTGTACGTACTGTTGTGCGTTTGTTTTTTCTGCATTGGCTAGAGGTATAGGGGGAGGGTTGAGATCTAAAAAAAACATGTTTAACCCCGCCGCATTTTTGCGCCTGTCCCAAGTCAGGAGCCACTGGCCTTTGTTAGTCTTGTATCATTTTTTAATTTTAGTTTCTTGTGTATAAGTTGGAGTTTAGTATGACGTCCATTATCACTGAACTAGTATACATATTTGTTTAGGGGCCAGCTGAAGGACGCCTTCGGGTGCAGGAGTTTCTCGCTGCATTGAAGACCCATTGGTGGCCTTCGGCTGTTGTCTGCTCTATGGTCGGGTTGTTGTCTCTTTGACACATTCCCCATTTCCATTCTCAATTTTAATATTTTATTTTTGGCCTTATTCTCCATTCTTTATATTTTGGCATCCTATTATTCTCTATTCTTTATTTATTTGGCCTATTTTTCTGTATTCTTTATTTTTTGCCCTTTATTCTGTACATTATGCCCATGATTATTCTCTATTCTGTAAACCCCATCCATGCACTATGGTATGCGACAACTTAATGACAGACTTTCTCATGAGGATGACCATGAGTTACACAGGTGTAACACCATAAGTTTCATATCCTTGGTCTGAAATTTGGCTCCACAATGTTGGATTTGCAAATTTGCGGTAGCAAGTTTGTGTCCTTCACGGAGCGGGATTTGAACCGATGCATCTGTGACACCTTGACAATGTGTCCAACGCCTTAGACGACTTGGCCAACTAGCTAAACTATATTAAAAAAATAGCTATTGGTAATCGAATAATGCCTTTCTTCGTCGGCTTTAGCTGAAGGATGCTACACAGGGCATGATGTATTATATATATGGCATGTAGATACATGTAGTCGGGTTATGTCTGTCTTCGTCGGTTTTATCTTTGGTTGTAACACAATATATAACCCATAAATTACCCTAGCATTTGATCTAAATTTCATGTTTATCATTGATAAGAGTTATAACTGACTGAACCAGATTTGTCCACGATATATGTTTCCCCTAAACTTGAGATATTTATAGTGTTGGTATGATATTTATAAAGACATTTGACTCTTACCATTGTCACCACATATTAACCATGATTAGCGTTGACCTTCATGTTGAATTACTGATTTTTGCTAGGGCTAATATGGTATTTGTCAAATATATGTAAAACTACGTGTCTTGAATTTATATGTCTGCAACATTTTAATTTAAACTTTGGAAACATTAACTTACGAAGTGAAAACATGATTATGTTGTTTTGTTTTAAAAGAATATTATACTTCTATTTCAAATGCAAAGCCCGTATAAAGATTTCTCTTGTTCTTTGGCAATCATACCCTTTTCGGGCCCATATATTGAATAAAAAAATAACCAACGTGTGGTTGCCGATGATCTCAGAAGATGATTGGCTGAGTTTAAGGGTCATGACCTTTATCAGTTCACTGGATGAATTGAGGCTCGGACATTAAAATTCGATAATTTAGCTATCTCGATTGAATAAATCCGATAATCCACTGGTACCAATGGAAGAATCTATATTTAATACTAGTAGTAGCTGACTGAGAAATGTTATTGTAATATATTTCCGACGAAGATTTATTTTGATTTTTTTTGTGTCGTTGGGTATTTCTCTCACAAACGAAGATCCCACGTTCCTTTAACTTTTTATTCGATCATGTGTTTTCCAATCTTTGAAGAAGAAAATCCTGTTTTTTTTTATTGAGAGCGAATGTGATATGAATTTGGAATGAGTAAAATATACAGCATTGTGCGGGATACCTTTGAAATTATCGAAGATTTTACTTTTTACTTTCAAGACATATTCAGCAAATAAAAAAAAAGGAATAAAAAACATAAAGGCACAAATGGCACCATAAAGGGTCATCTGTATTTTTAGAATAAATTTCGCAAAGGACATTCTTTAGCTCCTATGGGGAATTTGTTTTTCCTATATAAAAAATCTGAGAGCATTTTTTATTTGTGGAGACAGCCAGGTTACCCGGAGAGAACCACCGAACTTCAACAGGAAAACTGGCAAATCCTGTCAATTAAATAAGGTCAGAGTCCAACACATCTCGCTAAGTGCGGTATAAGTGACATCCTCAGAATCGAATGGCTAGTGGTCACTGTAGATAAACTACTTAGACCATTCGTCCACCGGTGTTCTTGGAAAGAAGACTGGCCGGGTCAAATGTTTAATGTGATTATTATCAAACAGTATCAAATATCCTGCGCCGAATGCGAGTTTAGCCTTAATATGTATAATTTCTCTTCAGTGATGCTCGATGACAAAATATTTGTAAATCCATAACTTGATACGATTAAAGAGCTGATTTAACCGAAAGGACCAAAAGCACAGACCATCGCAGACAAAGAATCGACCAATGACGGTATTTGTTAGATTTTTTTGTCAGATATATAACCACGTAGCTGTGTTTATTCAATTATCACGCGTATACATGTAGCTCGTGATCTACAACTAGGAAATAATTCGGTGTTGGGGACCCCGTCTTGCTGTGAGATGAGAGATTTTGCTTTTGTTTCATGTTGAAGGCCTCATTGTGATTTCGAGATCATTGGTAGCAATTTAAGCGCCGTTTCTTTGCTTTTGTTTTGTTTTTTCACATGCGCGTATGGATTTTATGTCATGACTATGGTTCATACATCATATCCATTCTTTTCCGTTATGCAAGTGAGAGTACCATTCCTTAATTTCAAACGATTTTCTATCTTTTACAACTGCAAATTTCATAACTGTTTTGTAGTATCTCCATATCAGCACCGATGTACTAAGCTAACATTAAGGCTTTAATTGAAATCTATACAAGTTCAAAAAGGATTGTATCTTTCTGATATCAAATATGATAAAACTGACAAAATAAATAATACTTTGTGTAATAATTTTTTGAATTGATAAAATACATAACGATTATTATTTTTTTTTTAAATTCATGCTATGAAGAGGTATGACTTGTTTTCCCAATATTTGTTACTTGTTCAAAATAGGAATGTCGTTAATTATGGAAATTGAGTAATATAAGCATTACAGAGTCTAAATGTTATCTATACTTGAAAAAATATTACAAATGTAACAAGTTTTGCAAAATTTCTCATTAAATGACAATCTTAATCAAATTATCTGAATTACAAAACACAGCCTCACATCAGATAAAAACAAATTATAATTCGGAATAGAATGTCCTTCGTATTCATTTTTCAAATAGATAGCCAAAATATGCACAAAAATCTTTTAGAATTGAGGTTCGTAGCTATCTTTAAGCATTTGGTTCTTGGGAACATGTTCGAAATACGCCAAACCATTGACATGATTGATACTACCTTAGAGTAAACATAAAGTTTATGATTATGTAGATTTGAATAAAATGGCCTGAGGGCGAAATGAATTCAACACAAAAAATAAAATAAAAAAAAAGTCATCTGTCCTACCTCTTTGAGATGTACGATGAGAAAATAATCTACTGGATACCCGACCAAATTTAACTTTACGTTCCGCTGTATTGGCGATTTGCTTTCATTAAATTTTGCTAATTTATTTTTTATGGTCTTGTTGGTCGTATTTATCCTATTAATCTTAAGATACCAGAAGTAGCTGCAAATGCAGGTCTTCTTCGGACATTGACTGCAAGATTTCTAAATGATGAAAGTAAAGGCGGGCTAAGAACCAAACTTTATAGCAACAAATTATGAGTTCAATCTTCCAATTGTAACCTTCCAAATTTTGTTTAGCACATGTCGTTCCTGTAGCACCTGTTTAAAGAAGTGTTTATACGACGGGCCAGTGTCACAATGGAGTAGGAGTAGTGTGTAAAAGGGGAGGCAAAAGTGACAATCAACAAATACAACATCTATAGTCTAGCTAGTCTAGTAGTTTGTCGGTGTCCTCTATCATTTTTATTTTTCATTTTTCAATTTGATAAAAAATATCAAAAGTGGGGAGTGCGCAATTCTCCCCTAGCCACCGCGGCCCCTGCGCTCCTGTGTCAGTCAGAGTGCAGCACGGTATGCACGAGCTGCTCAGAATACCATTCCTGAACACTTTGGTTCACCTCTTACCTTTAGTGGAGTTCGTCACATGATTGCTTAACTTTAGTGTCACTCTGAGACTATAAGTCTCAGTGTCACTATAGGCCGTGTAATGCACTACCACTGTTAGTCGTTTTGTCATTTTCATTTGAACGTCTTATTTGGCTGTAATGGAGTGATGATTTCTTATTGCCTCCTTTGATATTTTAGTCTCTTTTTTGGCAGATGCAGTAAGCCAACAATATCCTTGAATAAATGTATTGCAAGGGGAATTGTAAAGGCGTGAATAATATATACATCATAAGTTTAATTATTTCGTGACTTTCGAATTTTGTCGAAAGAATATGGTGCAACTTTAAGACATTAGTACAAGCTGCGCAAGTTAGCTGCGTTCTACTATCCTCAAGATGTATATCATGAATTTTATGTATTTATTGTAAGGTACCTTCCCCGGCACTTTTTCGCAACCCCCTAAAAAAATGAACCTGAAAAATGAAAATAAAAGAGGAAACTGATTCACTTTTAGACTATAAGTTTAGATTAAAGAAAAGGTTCTTGTTTTTGTTTGTTTGTTTGTTTTTATTTTTTCTTAGTTTTTTTTTATTAAAGCTGGGAATATAGCCGCTATATACTAACAATATATTATGTCCACGATTATAGTTATCAGTTTAAATTAATGTGACTTTGCCACATGATTTTGATAACATCTTGCATGATATTACAACTCAATTTCTAAAACATTAATGCTTTGTGAAGCCAAATTAAGTCGCTTGCTTAACATGATTAATTACCTATAGTATCCAATTTTCCGGACGACATTTCCGGTATGATCCGCAATATATTTGACACTATGTTTTTCGCGCCGTTTAAATAAATAATCACATGGGTTTTTGTTTACATTCTCTATGGCGATAACTCAATGGGAAAATGATTTGACATTAGTGATCCATACTTAAGATTTTAAAAGCGTACAAATGTGATACACGACCCGGTGTACTTTATAATAGTAATTTATATATTTTTAGTTTTTATATTGCAAATTATTGTATCACTTGGATACATTACAGGTGCGTGCAGCAAATTTTATTTTCACCTGTAATTTGATCAGGTGTTGAACCATAAACGATTAAAACACCTTCGCAGGTAAGAAAACATGAGTTACTAATTGCCTTTATTGATTTCAATTGTTTAATCACCCATTTCCACATCTTGTTATCAAAATATTGATTTTCAATTTTGCATATTTACACTTCGATAGGTTAATTTAAATTGTATTTACTAGTATTGTAGTGATCACAAATGAAAAGTGTTTCAAAAAAGAAATTATGAAATAAATTTTAGTTTTGTCATTTGAAGAAGAAAAAACAGGTGTTTTATTTGTGTACCCTATTTTTATGGAACTGACTACTACAAATTACTTATAGTTTATGGATTAAAACACAATTAAACAATTAAATGCATAATCAAAGTACAACATACAATTGATTTTTGATGTAATACATAAATGCTAATCCCTATTGGAATTTGAATCTGATTTAGCTGTTGTTTTATTCCGTCAATTTAAAAAGGATCGAAATTGCATAAATATATACTGAGACTACTATAACACATGTGTTATAGTAGTCTCAGATATATACAAGATGCATATGAAAACCACTTGATCATGTTGATGACATATAATCCTTTATGTTTTTGTTAGATCAATTAAAAAGTAACCTAAGATTTATAAAGACCTTTGAATATACAACAAAGGTGTAACCAGATATGCCATTTATTTTTTTAATAAATTTTCTCAAGATTTTATGAAGGCTCTGTCAGATTTTTATTGTTCATTTGCATTTGAAAAGTAAAGTATATCAGTTGAAGATGATCCTTGGTAATTATATAATCAAGACTAAATTTTACATGCACCTGATTTAACCTCTACAGATATAGGAATATTTTATTTAATACTGGCAAGACAAGGATTTTTAAAATAGCACACTAGTCACTTGGACAATAGGAAGACTCATTTTTTTTTTCAACTTTTATTAACACTCTAGACAGTTTACACTGTAACAAGAGGCAGACAAATGAAACAAATAATACTTTAAAATGGTGAACAAGATAGAAAGAATTATATACATAAGGATGCCAGTTACTTCCTAAAGTAATAGTACAATTCAAGGATTTGTATAGTAACTATACAAATCCTTGGTACATTATACCTAATTTTTTGTACACAAGTATACAAGCTGGCATGTCAGTTACTGCTAGTAGTCTGTTGTTATTTATGTATTATTGTCATTTTGTTTATTTTCTTTTGTTTCCTATTCTGACATCGGACTCAGACTTCTCTTAAACTGAGTTTTACTGTGCGACTGTTGTACGTTTGTTTTTTCTACATTGGCTAGAGGTATAGGGGGAGGGTTGAGATCTCAAAAAACATGTTTAACCCCACCGCAATTTTGCGCCTGTCCCAAGTCAGGAGCCTCTGGCCTTTGTTAGTCTTGTATCATTTTTAATTTTAGTTTCTTGTGTATAATTTGGAGTTTAGTATGACGTCCATTATCAAAGAACTAGTATACATATTTGTTTAGGGGCCAGCTGTAGGACGCCTCCGGGTGCGGGAGTTTCTCGCTGCATTGAAGACCCATTGGTGGCCTTCGGCTGTTGTCTGCTCTATGGTCGGGTTGTTGTCTCTTTGACACATTCCCCATTTCCATTCTCAATTTTACTGTATACACATTAATTACATGTGAAAATCTTTCAGAACTATAATAATGGGATTTAAGATCATGCCAGTCGAATAAATGTAAGTGATGATAATATATTTATAATCATAGATATTTCATAAGTTTTTTGGTGAAAATTGACAAGTTATTCAAGATTGGCTAGAGGTATAGGGGGAGGGTTGAGATCTCACAAAACATGTTTAACCCCACTACATTTTTGCGTCCCAAGTCCCAAGTCAGGAACCTCTGGCCTTTGTTAGTCTTGTATGTTTTTTTAATTTTGGTTCATTTATATGTTTCGGAATTGAGTGTGACGTCCATTAGCTGAACTAGTATACATTATTGTTAAGGGGCCAGCTGAAGTCCACCCTGTTGAAAACCCATTGATGGTCTTGGGCTGTTTTCTGCTCTTTGGTCGGGTTGTTGTCTCTTTGACACATTCCCTGTTTCCATTCTCAATTTCATTTTACATTACATAAACAGACAGCAGACCTTTCATTTTATATAAATCTGAAGGGTTTACAATAAAGTAATTTCATATGATTTGGGAAAAGTAATTTGGGATATATTTCTGTCTTAATTTTGTAACCTAATGTCATTGATTGGTTGCATTGCGTTTTCTTGGCTTACTCGATTGTAAACTATTCCCATTATTTCAAATTTCAACAGAAGCTTGGAATATTCCAGTGATAGACATGATATAACATCATGTAAGAAAATGTAAATTCCTTCATGATTGGATTTTATCTATTAAATTACTTAATTAAATACCTATGTGTATACATGATATTCTCATATCTTATTTTGTCTTGCAAATTATTATTTATTCTTTTTAAACCTTTTATTATCTGTACATACTACAACCTGTTGCCACTTATTGTATTTACAAAATGACATCTACATATTAATTGGTATGAATAGAAGCTTATTTCTTTTTTTGAATATATGCAAACAAAGGAAAATTTATTTCTACCAAATTGTTACCTACACTTGGGAGAGAGCATTAAAATACCATCAAAATTTTTATTGTAGTGTACAAGAAGAATTCATTCCTGGGTGTAAAAACTTGTATGCAGTTTTAGGGATGGGCATACGTATATCGTCTACCTGTTCATGGGATTGATTCTTGTTTGCTTAATACATGTCCTCATTAGATATATTTTTCATGTCTTTTTCTTTGGATGTACATTAAAAAACAGGAATTATCAAAAATATTTGAGAAAGCAAACTGCATCACTGAAATTGTCAAAAAAAGAAAACTTTACATTTTAAAGGCAAATAATCTGATTTGGGTACAGACTAGTTTTTTTTCCAATTCTCAGTACTACCCTTTACCTATCTAGAGAGTATGTCATAAAATGAAAAATCCAATTTTTATTTTTAAAAACTACCCAATGCTTGAACCAACTTTAATTTTTGAAAAAGACAAATTTAAACAAAGCAATAAGAGGTAACACACAATGTAGTCGTTTTTATAATGGTCTACTACCTGTGGTAAGCAAGCAAATATAGCTGTATGAGAGTGTGGATGGGGGTTAACAGAATAGAGAATAATGGTCAAGAAATATAAAGAATTGAGAAAAATGGACCAAAAAAATAAAGGATAGCGAATAATGAGGTGCTACAATATAAAGAATAGAGAGAAATGGCCTAAAAATTAAAGAATACAGAAATGAAGGACCCCCATCCAGACCCTCCTGTATCAGTTGGTTCAGTATTGACTCCAGGGATTCAAAAGTAAAGCTGTAGGTGGTGGTTTTTTAATAGCTACTAGATCTGCTCCAAAATCTGCTTACTGTGCACCCTTTTTAATAGAAACAGATGAATAGCTGCCTACTTTGAAACTTTATTTCAAGTGATGTGTCACTTAATTTTTAGCATTAATAAAGGGAAATGTTGTGTATACATGGATGAGACAGCAACACAATAACACAAAAACTTTAAGACATCTGAAAATGTAATTATTGTCCTCTTGTCCTTAAGGCAATTTTTTTTCAAGAACAATAACTCTTGAAGTTGGTACAGAACTGAAAGTTCAGTCGCATTGTGGTTTGACTAAATGTCCAAAAATTGGTTATAGTAAGAGTATAGTAGAACAGTAAAGTAATAGCTAAATTGTATATAAAATTTCTTTTATTTTACAGATGAGGTTGTAAAGTTTATTTCAAAATGGATGTAGCAGATCTTGTTTCAGAGGTAGGTTTAAAGGGAGATAATTCATGGTATTTCTGAACATATTATTTGAATCTGCTAAACAGTCAAGGGTGTAACTTAAATAAGTTATTAAAGAAAAATAACATCCATTTGTTATTGTGGACTAAAAAATCAAAACACTGTGATAACATATGTATGTTGCATGTTTCAAAGGGGCAATATACATCCTTTACTTTGTTAAATTGTATACAAGTTCTATTGATATTATTATTGTCTTTATGTATACTAAACTTAAGAAAGATATAACAGTTCATAGTTTGCCAATCATGCATAGTACACCTATGTTATTACAGAAAATATATTCCTGTAATAACTAAAGGTTGTTATTACAGCTTCTGTACATCTCTTTAAAGCCTCTGCTCAGACATATATCACAATGTATTTTAATTTATTGTAAGAAATAATGATCAGAGCATGCAATGAGGTTCTGCGCAAGATTCCAAGTAATTCCCAAGTGTCTCATTTAATAAGTTACATGCCTGTAATAACTAAGCCTTGTTATTACAGCTTAGTGTATCCCTTAAAAGCCTTGTCTCATTTATTTACCATGGTTGATCAAAAATATATTAATTGAATTGGAAAATTAGTTATCAAGGTTATGTATTAAGTTTCTGCGCAAAGTTTCAAGAATTCCCAAGAGCCCATTAAAAATAAAAATATTTATGATATATTTAACTAATAACAAACATATGTTACTACAGATTAAGAAAAGAGTAGACAACTCATGAAAGTATCTGTAATAACACATGTATGTTATTTTTCTCTAATAACTTATTTAAGTTACACCCTTGACTGCTAAAGGACTGAATGAACATATATATATACATATATTATGTATCTTTTTTATATTGAGAGATTTTCTGTCATTTATAGCTAAACTTACAATAAAAAATTCTTACGTTGACCTATAGTTGTTTACATAGCTGTCCTTTAGTCTCTGGTGGACAATTGTCTAATGTCAATCCTACCACATATCCTTATTTTAATATTACATGCATAAAAGACAGGCAGTTACTGGATTACTGTTTTTGGTCCTAATATTTTGCTTACTGTGGATTCATTTATTTTTCGTGGACACCAATTTTCATGGATTCAGGAAAAACTGTATTTTCGTGGATATTTGATTTCCTTGTTTTGTTAAAGTCTGGACAAAAGCCTTTAGAAAATTTGTACTTTGTTAGACAATCAAATTTGTGGTTATCCTACAACCACGAAAATTGGTATCACACGAATAAAAATTAATCGATAGTACATGTATCAAATAGAAAATATATCAAAACATGCAAAACATGTAACCGTTTCTAAGCGATATTTTCATAACGGAACATCAATTTTCAAAGATGATCTAAAAATTCCACCAGAATAAGTATGAATGACTGCTACATGATGTGTCATGAATGTCTAGTGTAGAACCTCTCAAAATAATTTCTTTTCATATATTAAAGACAGTTTATTTCGCTACATTTGCAATGTATTTTAAATTTAAGGCAATTTCATCAGAGTGATGCACAACTCTGATGAGTACTTTTGATTTCATACACAACACCTTTTTATTGTGTATTTTTCACTCAAATAATTTCTATAATAATAAATCGACGTTAAATGTTGATGTGAATTAAATGGTATAACTCATGTCAGTGCAGTGAAGTGCAACCCAATATATTACGTTTTGTTGTACATGATATTTCAGAAGAGATAAAATATGATAGATAATTCAAATATGACCTTGATCAAGAGAATACTTTTTGAGTCATTGCATGCATGGTTCTTTTGAAATTTTGTAAATAGCTTTATTTAGCAATACTTATTTGCGTAGTACAACAATGAAATTCTAAAAGTAAACAATTTTCAATACACAACTATTAAATAAGTACACATACATTTAAATACTTATGTCCGACAATAGTTATATATTCTATAGAAATAACGTTATTATGAGAGATTAAATAGTATCATACAAAGCAAGAAATCGTTTAGTAGATTGTGTAAAATTGAGTCGACGGGTTCATTTAATTGAAGTTTAAAATCTGTTCGGTAGTTAGGATATAAGCACAAGACATTTTTTTAAATTGTGGTTCGTTTTAAAAGGATCTGATTTATTTCTTACAAATATATCTATTCAATCTTGAAGTATTTATGTCCTTATAATATTTACCTAAAGTTGAAATGTTTTTATTAGTATCCTTTTGAAGATCTGAATAAATTTAAATGTTAACCTTAGAGAATATGAGGGTTTGGATGGGGGGTCCTTAATTTTTTCGCTCATTATTCTTTATCTATAAAGATAATGACTATTCTGTAATTACTTGATAACTGTATTCTGTGCATTGTTCTTTTCTGTAATCAGTATATTTTTATCCAATTCTTTAATTTTTGCAGTTATATTTTATATTTTAGCAACCCATTATTCTCTATTTATTATTTTTTGCCCATTTTTCTCTATTCTTTTTTTTTTTTGCCCATTATTCTCTATTCTATAAACCCCATCCACACCCTCGAACATTGATCCTGATGAAAATGTAAATAAAAAGTACACGTATAAACACTCTACTTTATTTTCAAAGCACAGAATTCTGTCACAACGTCTTTGAAAAAAAATAATTACAAATCATTAAGCAGTAAATCATCCCAGAAATTTAAAGAAGCAAAAAATATGGACAAAATCATTATTTTATTATTTTATTCATACTTAAAAACTTACATTCTAAAATTTATTATACCCCAGCTTAAAAATAGTGGGGTGTTTTACCTCTGTCTGTCCGTCCGTCCGTCCATCCGTCCCATGAATATATATTTCGTCACATCTTTCTCAGGAACTACATTACAAGGATTTCTAAAATTTGGTTTCAGGGTTTATATAAGTCAGCTGTATGCTGTGATGCATTTTCAGATTCATCACTCAACAACTTCCTGTTTACAGAACACTTACATATGTTTACACTATTAAAATTATCCAGTTGCGGCGGGGGTATCATCAGTGAGCAGTAGCTCGCAGTTTCACTTGTTATTTTCTTCATTTGTGTGAGTGTTTGTTTTTTTTAAGAGAAATCAAGGTGTAAGATTCTTAAATTGTAGTTGCAGATGATATATTAGAAATGGACAAAAAGAAGGACTATTCATGCTATTTGACCCGTTATATGTAATTGTTCTTCAAAGATTTTCTTCATTTTTTTCTTTTTTATGCCACCGCCGCAAGGTGAAGGGGACATCAAGTGTCTCCCTTAATCGTCTGTCCGTCCATTTCTCATTTGAAAAGCAATCTTGAAGCAGGGGCATTTGTGTCCTCAGACACATTCTTCTTTTATTTCTTCTTGTTTTTGGTGCAGTTTGCTTTATTGTTAAATTACTCAATGATTACTTGCCTAACTTTGGCTATAGTTCTTGTCCTTTTATCATGCAGGGGTTCAAATTAGTGTGGGTCCGAGGTCCAGGACCTGTCTATTCTAGGAGAGGACTTTTCATTTTTAAATTACAAAAGTCAAGGACCTAGCTACCATTCTTTACACTAATACTTGATATACAACCATTGATTTCTTATGGAGGACCCTTCACTTAAAATTTCGAATGGTCCTAAACCTTTCATCAATTAAAGCAAATTTGAACCCCTGATCATGTTTATGTTTTTTTTGTTAATCAGCTTTTGATTTATTAAGTAAGTTTTGGATTTACAAATAATTTGGCCTCAAGCATCACCATTGAAGAGACATTTATTGTCGAAATGTGCATTTGGTGCAGTAAGATTAGTACTGTTAATGCTATTCTTCGACTTTGTACAATTTATTAATGTTTAAATATATATTACAGTACACATATTAGGTAATTAAGTTGCTGGTTTTGTGTGATTAATGGTGAAATACAGTCATGACAGTGATTGAGATGACTTAAACACTCTGATTTTGACCCTGAATGTACAAGAGTGAAATTTCGTGAGTGAAACACCAACATTTTTCTAGTATTTTTCTGTTAAAAAATGAACATCAAAAGTGATTTTTATCTGCACTCCTTTGCCTGTACTGTATCCCTGTCTGGTGTCTGAAAGACAAATTTAAGTTGAGAAAACAGTGAAATCATTTTACCTTAAATATGTATATTGTACCTTAATATTATAATGTACTCACTAAAGTCAATATTAATAACAGAAAATAGTTCTGAGAGTTCGGTGGAATATATAATATAAGATGAAACTTTAAATTCTTTTATGCATGCAGTGATCTAAAATTAGATTAAACAAATTTATTCATGATAATTTGCACTTGAATTGTCAACGTTTTGTAAATAAATGCTTAGCCCTATGTAGGTATTTTGTAAACAACTTTATGGTTTCAAAAAACAAAATGTTTATCTAAAGTCAGTAAACTTTTGCATTGATAGAAGACAGCCTTTCACCAGACAACACAGAGATTTTCTTAATTTCACAGCGTCAACTAAAGAATTCCAGTTGAAATTAATACCTATTTCAAAATGAAATTGATTATATTTTGACAAAAGCAGACTTATTCTGTCAGGTGGGGACAGGTATTCCCTCACCTGACCAGCTTACCTGTAATCACTAAGGATTACTATGTAGATATGATAGATTTGAGGAACAAAAATAATGGGATTAAAATTCATCCCAACAATAGTCAAGATAATATTAATAGGTGTAATATAAATTTTAAATAGAAGATTGACTTTAATTTATTGTAAAGCTAAACAAAGATATGATCTATATTTCGGAAGGTACACAGCATGCGGTATGACTGTTTGTCTGGTTTTCTTTAACATAAAGAATTGATATTTATTGTTCTCTTGATTTATAAGTTTGCAGAGGTGGATTTAGGGGGGGGGGGGGGGGGGGGGGGGGGCAGGCTACCCAGGCCCCCCATATGGAGCTATATTTATGGTTAATCCAGACTTTTTACCTATACCACCCAAAATTTTGTTTAGTTTGGGGCCCATGGGCCCTCTTTTTTTAGAATCCTGGATCCGCATCTGGGTTGTTAGAAATGAAACAGACATATTTTTACAAAACAAATGTTTTATATTTGTCCAATTTAAATAGATGCAAAATATGAAGGCAAAAGACTTTAGATGGAACTAATTAGATTTTTTCAGGAAATCAAACATGGTACATGTGGTAAAATCATATGTTTTTGTTCCTTTTTAAACAATGTCTACAGGTGGTATCGATACAGTCAAACCTGCTATTAAGATAACCTCTTGAAGCAAAAACCTGTCAAAAATGCCACGTGTCACCCTCTTCTTGTCCTACTGTAGTAGTAATAATACATTTTGAACCTCAATTCAAATCAAACGTCACCAGTTTTATAAGGCCAGTTATGTCTGGTCCCCAGGGTGACCATTATATACAGGCTTATAAAAATAACAAGATGTGGTATGATTGCCAATGAGACAACTCGCCACAAGAGACCAAATGACACAGAAATTAACAACTATAGGTCACCGTACCATCTTAAACAATGAGCAAAGCCCATACCCCATAGTCAGCTCTAAAAGGTCCCGAAATGACAAATGTAAAAGAATTCAAATGAGAGAAACTAACTGCCTAATTTATGTACAAAATAATGAACGAAAAACAAATATGTTACACAGCAACAAACGACAACCACTGAATTACAGGCTCCTGACTTGGGACAGGCACATACAGAATGTGGTTGGGTTAAACTCGTTTGAAGGTGCCAACCCTCCCCCTAACCTGGGGCAGTATTGACTGAATATGTGATGTGGGTATCCATCCATTCATCCTTCTATCCCACTTTTGTAATAACACTGCTTCTGAACCCCTGAACAGAATTTTGTAAAATGTTCACAGAATCTTTAACTCACATTATGTGCTTTTGCACTTCCATTTCTTGATCCAAATGAATTTTTGGATTTAGTTTGGTTTGACAATGACTTTATCATATCCTGAAACAACAATCCACATTTGTTTCTGCTTCTCCTTAACTATTTATCAGAATTTAATAAAAATTCTCAAAATCTTCACCATATAATGCCATTGTGCACCTAGTATTTTATTTTTTTATTTTCCCTCAGCAAATCATGGACTTTGGCATTGCTTTATTTAGAATTAACCATTTCGTATGCACAACTCCTATCAAACTTCTTATTAAAATTATTGAAACTTTCTCCGAATCTTACCCATATAGTTCCAAAGCAACCTTTTTCTATCCAAATAATTTGTTTTAGTTTCCATAAGCAAATCATGGACTTTGTGATTGCTCTATATGAGGGGTGTCATGAAATAGAAGTTCCTTTATACCGTATAGCGGGTTATTTTTGCGGGGTGTTTATTTTTGCTTATTTTGGCAGGTCAGGGGAAATCGCGAAAATTTATGCATACGTTTGATAATTTCAAATAGCTATATTATAAAGCGTTTTGTAAGCTATTTATTTTTTTCCTGTTCGACGGATCAATAACGGTTTATGTTAATTCAAACAACTTAACTGTCACTGGCTGTCAGGTGTTAATTAGTTGATTGGTTACATAATAAAATAAATAAGAATATAAGAGTGTAAGGTACGCTGTCAGGTATTTTATCCTTATTAATTAGTGTCAAATTATATAAGAGTTGCAAGTCACTCATGATAATTTTATAATCTTATTAGTACATCAAAGGTCCGGTCACTTTCGTAACTAATCAACCGTAACATTTACAAGAAGTGTGTACACCTGTGACAAATAACTATGTACCAGTATTTTATTGATTAACTGTATCAAATTATAATCAATAAATAAGACGTCGTGCAGATAAAACAATCATTTAACCATAACAATAGATCCTTGTTTGTCAATTTTTACCATTTTTTTAACTGCAACCATTTCAGTATCAGTATAATTGAGATTAAAGAATCCGCCAAAATAAAAACCGCCAAAATTTTTCGTATACTTTGTTGTCCTTAAATCGCGAAATTTTACAACCGTGAAAATAACCCGCTATACAGTAATATAAGTTCGATGTGGAAGAAATATTCTGTAATATTATTTCCACTGGAACAAATATCACAGTATTTGTTTCATTACGGGATAAAGGGTATAGAATATTTGTTCCAACAGGAACATATATAATGACATTGTTTTTAATAAAGGTTCCAGGGGAAACTTCTGTTAGGCGGAACAAATATATGTTGACAGGGGCAGTGGTGGTATCATTATGTGAGAGATGCTCAAAAAGTATACTGACACCGGCCGCGGTGTTAACTAACTTCTTAAAAGCTTTATATTTTAGAAGCTGGAAGACCTGGATGCTTCATACTTTGTTTATAGATATCTTATGTTATGAAGTGTCCGTCTGTCATATGTCCATTGTCCTTGACCTCATTTTCATGGTTCAGTGACCGTTTGAAAAAAAAGTGAAGATTTTTTGTAATGTTAATTTCTCTCTTATTATGAGTAATAGGATAATTATATTTGGTATGTGCGTACCTTGCAAGGTCCTTTTGCCTGTCAGACAGTTTTCATATGACCTCGACCTCATTTCATGGATCAGTTAGCAAGGTTAAGTTTTCATGGTCAAGTCCATATCTTAGATACTATAAGCAATAGGTCTACTATATTTGGTGTAAATATGTAACCCTCTTTAAATAAAGATTTATTATTATTATTATTATTATTATGGAATGATTGTAAGATGTACATGTCCAACTGGCAGGTGTCATCTGACCTTGACCTCATTTTCATGGTTCAGTGGTTAAAGTTAAGTTTTTGTGTTTTGGTCTTTTTTTCTAATACTATATGCAATAAGTCAACTATATTTGGTGTATGGAAATATTTTACATTGTACATGTCAGTCTGGCAGGTTTTATTTGACCTTGACCTCATTTTCACGGTTCATTGCTCAGTGTTAAGTTTTTGTGTTTTGGTCTGTTTTTCTTAAACTATAAGCAATAAGTCAACTATATTTGGTGTATTGAATGATTGTAAGGTGTATATGTCTGTCTGGTAGGTATCATCTGACCTTGACCTCATTTTCATGGTTCATAGGTCAATGTTAAATTTTCATGGTTAAGTTTGTTTTGTTAGATACTATAAGCAATAGGTCAACCATTTTTAATGCATAGATTGATTGTAAGGTGTACATGTCTGTCTGGCATGGTTCATCTGACCTTGACCTCGTTTTCAAGGTTCATAGGTCAATGTTAAATTTTCCTGGTTAAGTTTGTTTCTTAGAAACTATAAGCAATATAGGTCAACTATATTTTGTGTATGGAATGATTGTAAGGTGTATATCATCATCATCATCATTTTTTCCGGTTTGGTTTATCTGACCTTGGCCTCATTTTCTTGGATCATGTTAAGTTTATGTGATACTTGTAGTAAAGCATTATACGTAGGACTATCAACATAAAATCAATGATCAGTAAAGCCGGCGAGACATTTCAGCCTGTGCTATCTTGTTTTATAACAGTAAGAATATTATCATACTAAAAACTGTTCTACTTTATTTTATACTTGATAATTGTATTTCTTTTGTTACTTTTCAGCTTAAGAGCAGTATACATAGAAAAGATGAGGTCAAAGTTCGTAATATCCTAGGACCCATCAAAGACCTAACTGTTATAAGATCTATTGATGATAAGGTAATTAGAAAAATCAAAATAACAAAAAAATCATTGTAATAGTCACAGTAATCAGTGAAGACTAATATGCCATTGGACATAAAGCAAACATCTCCTTATTTTTATAACACTCAATATGTGTAAACTTAACCATTGCAGCATGCACTCATTCTGCAGAGTTGTTCAAATTTAACCATGTGGACATTTTTTTTTGCCTTTTTTTTTTTTTTAATTTAAAAAAAAATAATGTTTTGCATTTTGTTTATTTTTTTTAAAGGAGGGGGATGGTGTACTTTTTTTTAAACCAGTGAATAATTTTGATAAAAACTAAGAAGATATTAAGGAGGTCAATCAATAATCTTACCATTAAAAAAAGTCAGAAAGAGCTGTTATCTCAAAAGGACAAAAAGTCAGACAAAGCTGTATCTCAAAAGGACAAAAAGTCAGACAAAGCTATATCTCAGAAGGACAAAAAGTCAGAAAAAGCTGTATCTCAAAAGGACAAAAAGTCAAAGCTGTATCTCAAAAGGACAAAAGGTCAAACCACAAGTTCTTAAAAACACTTCACAGAAACCTAAAGATTGAGCAATTTCAACCCCACCAGAAATTTGGGATGAATTCAGGTGCTCCTGCAGGTAGGCAATTTCTGCTCCACTAGTGGTTTCTGTCAGTTAGTTGAATACAAACAAAAATCCTGTGATTATTAAGTCGCATTCTGTGATACAAAGTAAGAATTTGGACATGATTGTGGTTTACAATGAATGGAACATATGTGTGATGAAGATATGATTTGAGAACAAATCGGTATATCGTATCCGTAGTCTTAGGAATACCTTGTTAGAAATTATGGCAACCACTCATTGATTCCAATTGTTGTATAGATGTATTTTTCCAAGTTCAGTTAGTGTTTTTTTTTTCCTTCATGCACACATTTCCACATTACACCTTTTTGACATGGTAAATTTTAGTATTTTTAAAAAATTTCCACGTACTAGGGGAAAATATTTGAATATTGCACTAGAAAGAGGCCTAAAACTAATTGAATTGTCTGATCAATGTATATTCTCCAAATTTTTTTTCATTCCAATAAATAAATAAAATCAAAATCTTAATCAATAAGTCTTCCAAGGACAGCACAAATGACTATCTTATTAACCTAAGTTTATTGTTTTCAGTCATGCAACAAAGCAATCTAACAACATGTAAGATTCTTTTACATCTATTTGATTATTAATGAGAAATCAATTTTCCAATATTTCATACTTTAAGTTAGTTAACTATAGTTTTCAAAGCCAAGGAATTGTATTATTAGATGAAAGCTTTTTTTTATTGAAAGTTGCATTGAGGCAGATTTATATTCAAATTTTGCTAGAACTTTTTAAGTTATATAGGTAATTAAAATCTATGTTTTTTAAAGCCAAGGTATTGTATTATATAGATCAAAGATTTTTTCTTTGAAAATTGCATTGAGGCATGCATTCAATTTCAAATTTTTGTTAGGGGGCCTCGGTGGCCGAGTGGTCTAAGTAGTCCAACTACTGTATCACTAGCCAGTCAACACTGAGGTTGTGAGTTCGAATCCCGCATGGGACAGGTGCACTCGACTCTAATCTTAATTGACTAGGATTGTCAGTTTTCCTACTGCTTCTCTCCAGGCACTCCGGCCTCGACTCCACCAACAAAAACTGACCGCCACGAAATAGCACAATAGTGTTGAAAGTGGCGTTAAACACCAATCAATCAATCAATCAAATTTTGTTAGAACTTTTAATAAGAGCACTGTGCCTAAAAGTTAGCGTGGGATATTTTAATTTGCAGCAAGCAATATAGCTGAAAATGTTATTTTTTTATATTAAAAGATACCAGTCTAGGTAATTTGTATTGAAAAAAGTCACCCTAGTTTCTGTTGAAGTTAAAGTTTGCATATATATATCATTCCTGCTTAAGTTTTTCTTTAAAATTAACGTTGAAGTAAATACCTTTTTTTTATCAGTTTTTAAGAATTGAAAAAATGCCTTGAAAACAAAGATGATACTAATATGCAAAGATGAGTGACATCCTTAAATTATTTATGCAAGAAATATGATTTATTTTTAAAATTTAAATATTGTTTTCCCTGTGTATTATTGATCGTACACCTCTACCCCTTTATATATTATCTTTCTTAATTTAAAAAAAAAAACAATGTTAAAATTGTCAATTTTTTGTAAAAGTCAAAGGAAGGGGAGTGCATTCTTTAGAAATTTTTCTCCCTCCCCCTTTTTAAAAGAAACATTTATGAAAATCCTGTTATATTTCAATATGATTACAATATTTTTTCTTACAGAAAAGTGTGATCATTATACCCAACTGCCTCCTTTTTCGTCAATGGTCTTGAAAAGGTCACTTTAAGATCATGTAGAAGTAATTCAGTATATCTTTATGAGCAATACCATAATCTGAAATATTCCTTCATTTGATTATAAATTAATCTGGTGTTAATCTTTATGACGGTACTTATCAACGTAATTCAAAGCTAGTTAAATAAAATCTTAATAAAATTCAGCTGAAAGTAAGTTTGCTTTGTTTAACAAATATCGTTGATGATTTCAATGGAGTGCTACAAATATTGTTTTATATATCTTATATTTGTGATATACAACACAATTTAATTCTATAGAAAATGTCAATACTTGGTAAATTAAATATTGTGATATTGTCGTAACACATTTGTGGAATTCAAATTGAATTGAAAATTTTAATCATTTGTTAATTGATTTTGTGGTTTCATTATTATCGGTTAAGGTAAGTCTTCTTTTTTTTATTTTTCTTTACTGCAAACATTTTTTACCTGTTTACTTAATGTCACATTTACATAAACATGAACAATATGCCAAGTCACTTATATACTTGAAAGAAATAAGTTTTCACATTGTTTAAAGTTTAAGGTCATATTTTATTGATTGATTGATTGATGTTTGCTTAACATCCAGTGGCAAACATTTCATGCATGTTCCGTATGAGAACAAATTACCAATATATACAATAGGTAGGTCCTGTTATAGAGGCTGTCCGGAATGAAGGTCAGGGAAATTTGGATGTCCACTGTAAAATAAGGGTATATTCGATAGGGACAGAAATTTAGCTTTGAAACAGGGCACCTAGGGACCCAAGAAAGAGTTGTTGCAAGGGTTCTTAATGTGCAGAGAGCATGGCACTCTCTCTACATGAGGCATCAGATTTAATGTCTCCATTTCGCCTGGAAGTGGCTCATGCTAATGTTTACATCCCAAACAGCCAAACGGACTCCCAACTTTGGCAAGGGTTTAACTGCCAGTCGTAATAAGATTACAGTTATATTTCTATTATCCTCTCAACCTTGAGGATAGGTCATGTTATATTCAAGGATCAAGATGGGCATTAATGTGTGCTTTGAGTAAATTGTTTGATAAAGTGCCAAAAAATTAACTCAAATTATTTCTTTCCAGCTGGTGAAAGTCCACTTTACCATGTTTACCTTGCTGCTAAACTTTTCTGAATTTACACTGTTATTTAATTTCACTTTTTTTGTGAATTTTCATATAATTGTATTTGACAGTACATGTATATTTTTTAAGACTACAGAATATTTTCAAAAGGCCTGCTGGCTTCCTTGACAATCCTGTAAACGTCTTACTTATTATAATTGTAACTGTAATCACAGTTCTTTAAATTGATTATGTTCAGGTTTGAGCTGTGGTAGACCTTTAGCCTTGACACTCAATTATTATAGGTTATAATCACTATTTTGTCTTAATGGAAGAGTTAGAAATTAACCACTTTTACCCTGGGAAAAGACCAATTTTTCTCACACTCTTTAAAGATACGAGGTATTCAGTATGAACTCTTAAAAGAACCGATTATTCTTACACACCAACAACGGACTAATTCAATCAAAATCCATTCAAAATTCAAAGGAAATTTGAGTTTTTTATCACATGTTGTCAATAATTTTATATAAATCTACCATATTGTTTTAAATCTCTGTCTATTAAATTCAATAAAAAGGTCACAATTGAAATGATATATATAAAATATCAATATTTTAATAAATTAAACATGACAACAAATGCACAATGAAAGCATTTAAATAGATGCCTTTTTAATTCCACTTTGATTTTTACATTATTGGATCAGCCATTCGTGTGATAAGTTTGTTTCAGTTTTGTGAGTTCATTGATTTGGTAAATTTTGATACAGTTAATATAAGGTGAAATAATTTCATTTTATTTGGATTTTAAATCGGCTATTAAACTTTTTGGTTAGAGACTTTTGTTCATTTTTTGATCATCTATTTGTACAGAAGGTTAGTTGGTATAAATAAGATATTTTATGTCGTCTGCCAGTTGAATTTACTACGGAAAATCATTTTTAAAAAGTTCCTGATTCAAATGTCTAAATGATTCTTTGATTTTTAGGTGTGACTTTCACATCTTCGGTAAATGATTTGAAGGAAAAGATGTTTTTTAATTTTTTATTTTTAAGTCATTTTATTAAGAAAAAAATCAGGTTATTAAAATATTGAAGTATGGAGGGATGCATAAGGCAGCTGCCAACATTAACTTTGCAATAACCTATGAACCGTTCTACCAATGCTTTTTAGATTTTTTTTTTAGATATGTTGTAAATGATGTCAAAATGGAGGCCAAGTTTGATATTGACAAATTTCACTTTTGCCGTTCAGGAGTTCTGATCCATTAAAATTGAAAAAATGGCTCTTTATGTCATTTCCATGCAATAACTTATGAACCATTCAACCGATGCTTTTCAAATTTTAAGATTATTGATGACAAAATGGAGGTCATTAGTTCAGTATTGGAAATTTTCACTTGATTGTTCAGTAGTTATGGTCCTTGATTGATTGGAAGGCATTTTTTAACTCATTTCCTTGCAATAATATTATTGCAGTGTTCTACCAAAGCTTTTCAAACTTTAATATATTGTTTCTGATGTTAAAATTAAGATTTAGACTTGATATTGGCTTTTTTTTACTGATGCCGTTCAGGAGTTATTGGACTTGATTGACCGGAAAATGGCAGTGTATGTTGTTTCTATGCAAAAACTTAAGAAATGTTTAACAAATGCATTTCAAATTTTTATATGTTGTTTCTGATGTCAAAATGGAGGTCATTTTAATATTGATGATTTTCACTTTTGCCATTCAGGACTAATGGCCTGTCAGTGTTTAAAATGACACTAATAAATGTAATAAAAACCTGCTTTGTTGTCATTTTGACAACGTCTTGTTATTTCTAAGGATTTAAATTACCAGCAGAAATAACATTTAATGTCATTACAATCCAATATTTTAAAGGGACAATTTGTTTCAAGTTTCAACAAACATATATTAACATTGATATAGTTTATTTTCTTACAGAGGATAGATGTAGAATAGAAAATCAATTTGTTTGGATTTAAAATTGATGAATTTTAAATCAAACTGTAAAATTCTACATATGAGAAGTTATTTGTTTGAAAATTTCCTGTTTATCTATAGTTTGCCCTGTAATAATATATAAAGTGTCTGCATGTTACTTTGTTAAAGTTACGGAATTTTGATTTGATGGCTTTTGAATTTGATGGCAGTTTTACCATTCTGCTTAAAAATCACACCCTGTTTGTGGTAGTGGGGTTCAACTCCTTGTGGTAGGAGCGTTCAACTCCTTGTGATAGGTGTGTTCTACTCCTTGTGGTAGGTGCCTTCAACTCCTTGTGGTAGGTGCGTTCAACTCCTTGTTGTAGGTGCGTTCAACTCATTGTGGTAGGTGTGTTCAACTAATTTAATTGACTAGGATTGCCAGTTTTCCTGAAACGGCACCAATCAATCAATCAATCAAAAATCACTTTAAAATTAATTGAGATAGAAACTAGATTTTATATTTGACAGAATTGTAAAAAAAAAAATAATAAACAATAAATTTCAACATTTGATTTTTCAGTTAATTGATTGTATATATATATTCCATTTCAGTTTTTCAATACCTACAATAACATTGATCCGGTGAACTTTGCTATTGAATGTGGAGCAGAAAAGATTGCAATTTATTTAGTGGAGAAATCTTTTCCAACAGACAGACTCTATCAGGTAATATTTATGGAAATTTAATGGAATACCAATGGAAATTTTAATGAAATATCAATCTCCTGTTTTTGATTTTATTAGTCCTTTAAGTAGAGGTTCTTGTCAATTAAATGAATTGTATAGCTATTTTTGGTTGCAATCATTAAATATACTTTTGAATGAAGAAGTTTGATGGAATAATCATTTTATAAATAAAATCGTTAGAGTTTTAGAACCTAAGACTTCTTTTTTTTTTAAAGAGATTTTATCCTAATTTATAAGACAAATTTATATGAAATTTAAATTAATGTTACACAATTTAAAGTACCTGAATCTTTTAATTAAATAACTGAAGGAAAGGGAAGAAGATGGAATATGATGTATTAAGTCGCAATAGTACAACACAAACATGTACTTGACATGAGGTTTGTACAGGGATAAGGGAGCTTGGAATGATGGGATGGAAGTTGAAGTCAGAGGGGTGGGAATCAGGAGTCTGGGGTTGGAAATAGGGGGAACTGGGGAAGGGAACTGGGAGAAGAGGGGGAGAAAAAAATAGGGGGTCAGAATAACAAGTCCTGAAGGTCTGAATATAATTATATATTATTGATCAGAATTTTCTTTAAACAAGTTTTCGTCTGGGATTTTATCTGACTTATCTCAAACCTTTTTGATTTGAAAATTTGCATTCAATTTGGTAGATTTGGGATTTATGACTTTTCTGCTAATCATCTAAACATAGTTTCCTTAGTTAACTTTCAGTTTTTAAGATGTGTAAGAGTGAGGAGGTGGGAGTCAGGAGAGGGAGGATTATAGTGGGAATCAACATCTCTAACTGGCACTAGAACAGCACTTTTATGGATGCTCTTCATCTCAATGTCATACTGAGGCCTTCAACACAAAGCATATCAAAAGCTCTTCATCTCAATGTCACACTGAGGCCTTCAACACAAGGCATATCAAAACTCACACCTTACTGCAAGTTCTTCAAGACCACACCTAGCACTGATTTGTGCAGTCTATATGATAATAAGAAGATGTGGTATAATTGCCAATGAGATAACTCTCCACCAGAGACCAAATGATATAGAAGTAAACAACTATAGGTCACTGTATGACCTTCTACAATGAGCAAAATCCATACCCTAAGGTCAGCTTTAAAAGGCCACGTAATAACAAATGTAAAACAATTCAAACAAGAAAACTAACAGCCTGATTTATGTAAAAACAATGAACAAAATATGTTGCATTTCATTTTTTCAATGGATATTTAAAGAAAAAAAAAACAATTCAGGATTACAGAATTTATGGTATGAAACAGTTTGACGATAAAATGAAGACGTTTGAATAAATTGTTCATAAAAACCTACTAAACTTTATACAATTTATTGATTTAGCAAGAATTAGTTCAGTGTGACCAGTGGTGTTACTTTGACCATGGAAATGACCGATGTCCAGCTATGTATGATGCTGCAGACAATGCAATCAATGCTTACATGCACAAACTGAAAAACATAATCCAAGCCATCAGAGAAGGAAAACGTAAACCAGGTGAAGGAATTACTTCACCTTATATCGAGGAAACAGTCAAATCAGAGAGTGAAAAGATGGAACCAGTCAAACAAGAAAAGGTTGGTCATGTTGTAGTTATATGTATGATATGAAATTTAGATCACACCTTTAGCCAGGGTTTGAGAGATGACCCCTCTTAAAAAAAATGGAAATACTATTAGAGACAATTTAAGTCGAGATTCAGATTCAAGTTGCACTATTAAAGTCAGTGCATTAAGACATCAAATAGCCCACTTAGAGATTGATTGATTAATTGCATTGGTTGTTGGTGTTTAACGCCACTTTTGGCATTATTGGCTCTGTTATGGCTGGTAGTTTTTTTGGGTTGAGGAAGCATGGAGTTCCAGAAGAGAACCACTGATCTTCTGCAGGAAAACTGACAATTCTAGTTTATTCAGATTGGAGTCAAATACACTGTCCTCATGTAGGATTTGAACTCACAACTTTAAGGTTGACAGGCTAGTGATACTGTAGATGAACTACTTAGACCATTGATCACTGAGCCCCCCCCCCCCTTTTTAGAAACACCATTGATGTGGGACTGATAACTAATGTTATTATTATTTAGCAAACAAACCAATTAGCTTAAAGTTGTGTCTAGCAGCTGATTTTATATGATATCTGTATTCAATAAACTGCTTGTTTTTCTCTTTTGTTTGTCTTCCCTTATTGGTGGTCACACCAGAAATGCATTTTATAAGTTCTGCTCTAACAATGTTACTTTCCTGATTACTTTTACTCTCTCATCATGACATCATTGATAAATTGTGATTTCACATAGTGACATCATTGGTAAATTTTGATGGAGGAAGCCGCAGTGCCCAGAGAATAATAATAATCCTTATGCTTTAAGGGGTGAAGGTAATTTGATAGTTCCTAAGCCAAAAACTGAACTGTTTAAAAAATCTTTTGCTTATTCTGGATCAGTTTTATGGAACGGACTACCTTATGAAATGCGAAAAGTGCAAAACACTTTTTCTTTTAAACAAATTATAAAACAATACTTGAGACAGTCCCAATATTCAGTCTTGAAATGATTGCAACTATTACTTTTTTTTATAGAATGTATGATTTTGATTTGTATATAATATCTATTCACTACATGCAATCTGTAACTGTTTTATATGTTCTAATTATGGTACATGTACATTGAACTACCATGACTATGTTTGCTTTTTTCTCTTATTATTATTTTTTACATGTATTGTATATGAGGGCCTCAGGGAAGATTAGTAATTGTAACTAACTGTGTTTACCCTCTTTAAATAAAGAATTTATTATTATTATATTATTATTATTAATCACCGACCTTCGGTAGCAAAACTGAAAATCCTTGTCAATTAAGCTTTTATGTTTATAAAAAAATATGTCATTTATGCAAGAAGAACGATTTAACACTAAACAATTAATGTTCTAGCAATAACATTGAATTTGAATTGCTGTAATTTTTGTTTACTTAATTTCTCCTATCAATAAAATCACCATATCATTATAGCTCTACACAAGAATTTTACATTTTGGGACTTGACTCTGATTGACATTAGGTTTGCTCCAATTGACCTAATGACATTGGAAAAACAATTACTTTTGATCTGTTTCATCAAACCCTTTTCTTCTGACAGATCAATAGTTTATTCACTGACTTTTGCTTCTAATATAAATTCACTATGAAATTATCAATTTTAAACAGCAAACAATATATTGCTATTGAAGATTTTTTAAAAAATGATGAAAATTAAAAATATGAAATCAATGTTATCTTACAAACCATAAATTCTATTCTGAATTGTACCTTGATGTTATTATAGATAAGTTATTGATTTAGTGGAATGAAAATGTATTAAGCTTCTTTAAAATAACTATAATCTGTTGTAGCATTAATCAAACAATTAGGGAATCCTTTATTCCAATCAGATAAACTTGATAGAATTGCTATGTTTTAATTATCTTCTAGGAACCATATGCACATTTACTTTATTCTTAAATACAAAATTGATGCTGCATTCAATTTATCGGGAGATATTTTATATTCAGGAAAACAATTTCAAAGAACTTTCTAACAATTCTTCGGAACAAATATATAAATGGGAAATAAATAAGTTACTGATGGAAACCTTTTACCCCTGGTTTGCAGTGGAGTACATGATTCATGTAAATTATTATTTGTGTACACATGTCACCATTAAGCAATAATTATCACGGAACATTTAATAAAACTGAGGCAGTCAACTTGAAAAATTACAGTTTTTCAGAATTAAAGAATTGGAATTTAAAAGGCAGTTTAAAAAAATCTGAAATAATGTTCATTTTTTTAATTATTTTTCAGCCTGGAATGCCAATTTTCACACTACAAAAAGAAACTGCAGTGGAAGAAGCCAAAAAAGTTATAGATAATTATGGGAAAAATTATGTTTCAAAGGTATTGTATATTACAGTATTTATATTTTTGATTTATTGTATGATGCATTATGGGAGAAATTACTTTGAAGTGTAATTTTGCTTTAATCCTTGAAAAATTATTATTTGAAAGTATTTTAAGATGCATTGTTGGAAGACTTATGTAACCAAGGTGATAAATGTGATTTTCATGCTTACTTCTTAGCTTTTTTCTTAAATATAAATTCTGTTTCGCCAGGGCACCATAAAATAGTTTAGACATATATAGTATTACTCATGTCTGTCATTCCTAATTTTCTTCTGTCATTTTGAATACTATTGTTCTGAATTTATTTATCACACTCACAACAGAATTTATATTAATATTTTACATCTTGTCACATGTGAATTGTGTAACAGTTCCACCATTATCATGGCGATTTTGACAGAATCAAATAAACATGGGCTCTGTGTGACTGCATGAACACTGAAACATAATTTTAGATTTTTAGAAAGTGTATATAGTCTGATTTACCCTATGTATACATTTGAACCCTACAAAATTATATTCATGTTTCTCATCAAATTTGTTTTTCATTTCAGGATGGAAATACCCTGTTTCACTGCTACATAACCAAACCTAAAGTTTATTTTTATGTATTTGCTGCTGCAGGAGTTCCTGTCAATATTCAAAACTGTGTAAGACATACTTACCAAGTAAAAGCATACTTTAAACTATCTAATTTTTGCAAGCTATGTATTTTTCGCAACTGTTGAGAGTAGAAAAGTCAGAGGAATTTAAATCATCACGAATATGTGAAACATAAACAAAGTTAGAGAATATTAAAAATAAATGACCCCAAAGTCTGCTTGAAAGTGCTAAGAGTGAAAAAAAAGTATCAGCGAAAATAATTGGTTTACAGTTTCTCCTATTGACTGTCAAGAAAACAAAAGAAGAATATGTCTGAGAACACGACTACCCCTGTTCAAGCTTTGCAACAAAAATTGGATGGACAGACGGAAAGAGGGAAAGACAGACAGTCAAGGATAAACTTAATGCCCCGTCACCTATTGTGGAGGCTTAATAAAAGCAATGAAAGCTTTGTTCCATTGATACCTCTTTTTTCAATGTATTTTTGGATAGATATCTCTTGTGATAGCTCCATAACAAAATATATCGCACCAAAAAAATATTTTCAATAATTTAGAAACAGTGAAACTTGACTGTTTCTTGTTTTGATAGCAATAGCAAACGCAAATGTAGATGCTGAACAATATTAATTTAAGAGATGATTGAGTGCCAGTATTATAGTTTAAGGCAAAAGTTAATATTTTTGCAGTTTTGGTTTGATATTTTTATGCCCTACGTAGGGGCAATATGTTTTTGATCTGTGCGTCTGTTCGTTCGTCCGTCCGTCTGTCTCACTTCAGGTTAAAGTTTTTGGTCAAGGAAGTTTTTGATGAAGTTGAAGTTCAATCAACTTGAAACTTAGTACACATGTTCCCTATGATATGATCTTTCTAATTTTAATGCCAAATTAGAGTTTTGACCCCAATTTCACGGTCCACTGAACATAGAAAATGATAGTGGGAGTGGGGCATCTGTGTACTATGGACACATTCTTGTTATGATTAAATCAATAAAAAATTTGCTTTTGACTACTATTAGGATTTATTGTATTAAAATCAATTCAAAATGTTATTGCTGTTAAACATTTATCTATTGTTTGTTACAAGACTTAAAAAAAAAATCAAAACAAAAACTTTACATAAATATATATTCAAGTAGTTTACAGAATAACTATACAGCAATTTTAGAAGTGCTACTCAATCGAATTTCTGGTCTGTCTTAAAGAACCACAAAATTTAGGGAAGGTAGTTCTTTGTAATATTAATTGTTTAGTTGTCATCATAGACAAATTTAAAATTCAAGCACTCTCCTGTACATTTGCTATGTCACAATGCTTATATTATTATGTCACAGTAAAAACCCATTGTTCAATGGCATCATTTACCCCGATTGACCTTGTGTCAAATGGTGTTAACTCATTCATAAAAAAACAACTATAGAGATTGGTCTGTAATCTTACAATGATATCCAAAATTATCTTTTTTTTTTAGGATGGGGATACTGCTTTACACATGGCTGTAAGGGCAGCTTCAGTAGATGCTGCAGAGGCTCTCTTACAATGTTGTGCTGACCCAACAATCAGAAATAAGGTAGACACACATAAATAACTGGATTCAATTAGTTTTCATTGGAGTCTATTTTATGGATTGAGGAGTTAATTGGTTTTTTATGGATACTTGATATCATGGTTATGATAGAATCTGCATACATACACGATAAGAAAATTGTAGTTTGCTTAACTTAAATTTGCTATTCACCTTTTCCCATTAAATCCTAAATTTTAAATTTGTACACTGTGAATGATACTGAATCCACAGCAGAAGTTTACAAATTTGATAAAAATATTGCTCCAGCTGACAAGGCTTATAATTATTTTCTTTTTATTCTGTAGATGGGACAAACCCCTATAGACATGTCAGATAATGAAACAATTACAAAATTGCTCAACAAATTTAAGGTAAGTTTTCTGTAGTTTAAGATATAAATTGAAAATTATACTAAGTCAAAAATTATCATGGCTATGTTTCAATTGAAAATTATTATTCTTTCAGTTATATTGCATATTTTGAATTAGGCAGACCAAGACATAGTCTACATATAAGCAGCAATCAATATTTTTGAAGTAAAATAAAACTTCTTACTAAAGGAAATAGGTATAAAAAGAAACTTGGTGTATGCATCTATGAGACAGCAACCCGCTGACACAAATAACCAATAGATTATCTAGAGGAAAACACACAGTCTTAATTAATAGACAATTGTCTATGCAGTATGTCAAGTTCTAAGACACCTGAAATTAAAAAATGTGAATGAATTTAACAGACTATCAATAATCAATCATCAGCACTGATTCTCAAAAAAAAATATGATTTCTTACTTGGGACAGGCACATGAAAATGTGGTGGGTTAGACTAATTATTTGAGTTTACTATGCATGTACCTTTTTACTTAGTAAATAAACGTAATATGTTTGCATTATAAAATGTAACTTAAATATTTACATGCTTTTATGCTAAATTTCAAGATAAATCATAAAATGTCTTGTGTATTCCTTTAGTTGAACAGCATTCTTATTTGCTTTACCATTCCCTAAGTATTGAGCACCAAGCTCCTGAAAGCTTGCTTTGAGCTAGATAATTTTGTGTACATTCTTTAGTATTTCAACAATTAGATATCGTGAAGACTCACTCAGATCAACTTTGTACAAATTTTCTTGCAAGCATAATGATCTATTTTGATAAACAGAAGACGTTAAGGTGGTATATAACACTACAGGGAGATAACTCTGTAAAAATCAACTGAACGTTTTAATCACGTTCTGTTGTTAAGGAAATATTAAGCTTCTTAATGATCAAAATTAATGTTTGTCAAACTGCTGTTTATCCAATGAAATTTTTCCAATAAAGTGTGGTTCAAGTTTTTTGAAATTTTTGTATTTTGGTCAAAGGGTCAAAGTAAATATTTTGTCAAAGTTTTATGAAAATTAATTGAGCAAAATTAATTTTAGTCAAGGTGTTTGGTACCACCTTAAGAGAAATTATTCATGGTTGGAATCAAAATTGTTGGAATGGCTTTATTCTGGTGAATTTACTTTAATTTTACTACCACTAGATTGGTACCACTGCTGATGAACCATCAGGCCTTCTAGGTACCTCATCCTCAAAGAAACCTTTCCTTTGATATATTTTGTTTTTAATTTTCCAGTTCGTAAAATTATGTTATTGTGTAAAAACTATGGTTTGAACTGTCTCAGGTAAAGTTGACCGTAGAGAATTTTGGCTCCTCTGTTTTGGCTCAACGTTCGGGTACTTATGCTCGCCTGCAATTGTGGGGAGTGTTGTGTTTTTCAGTTTGTATGTCTATTAGTCTGTGATGTTTCCGGTTAAAGTTTTTTGGAATTAAGGTAACTAACCATGAAGTAGTGCTATATCAATTGGAAGCTTATAGTACACAGTTCATTATGGTGTGAACCTTAAAAAATATATGCCAAAATCCATTTTAATTGTTTCACATTTTGTCATGTCTAGGCTTTTTAAAGCTGACCATATGGTATGGGTTTTGCTCATTGTTGAAGGCAGTATGGTGACCTATAGTTTACATCTATGTCCTTTGAACTCTAGTTGTTAGTTGCATCATTGGCATTCTTACCACTTCTCATAAGACTTTGAATTCTTATCTTGTATACCTTATGTTAAAATTTAAATAGAATTCATTGCTTGCAAGAAAATTCCAGTGAAGTAGAATTGACAATACCATAAGAAAGCTTATTTAAATTAATCATGCTTAATTTACCAGAACGGGTTACTGGGTGCCATTAAACGTGGAGACTTGCGCTGTGTCGAAAAATATTCTAAACATTGGTGCATTGTGGATGCTGTTTATAATAAGGTATTGGGTCGCCATTGAAGTAGCACGGCTAATGTTTGTATTACTGTGTATAAGCTTCTAATATCTGTTTTGTGTGTTAAAAAACCAACTACACAAGTTTATGGGTAACACACTGTTTTTTAATGAAATATGCATAATTGTTTAACTTGCACCAATGTGTTGAAGTAACTGTGTGTTTTGTAAACAAAATGCATTAAATATTCATTCATGATTTTTTTTCTGTACGTATGTGAAAATGATAGATCATTATCATTGTTATTGTCTAAAAAGATTTTATTAAAATTGTTATTATTTTGAGATATTGAATTTAAAAATGAAGCTAATCCATAAAAGTTACAATGAATTTCTTAAAAATAAATTTGTTTTATTTTGTGAAAATATCCCATGAATTATGTAATTTTTTCTATTTTTAATAGCCATTCCTCTTTCTGCCTTGTAGTCTGTTTTCCGTCTTGTCAACTTCAAGAATTAGAAGCGTGATTTCTCTTTAAGACCTTTAGCAGCCAAAAGACTTCTGCCTTAATTTATCAGACTTTTTTAAAAATGGCATTTAGCTGCTATGATTTTATTTAGATCTCTTAGTATGCAAATTCTAGTTGTGTGAATTTCTTTTAAGCAATTGTTTGTAGAATGCAGAGTCTTTCCTTATTTGGCATTCAGCTATTTTTAGCTCACCTGGCCCTAACAGCCATATGAGCTTTTCTCATCACTTGTCATCTGTCGTCCGTTGTCCCCGTCATCTGTTAACTTTAAAAAAAATCTTCTTCTTTGAAACTACTTGGCCACAGTTAAACAAACTTGGCCACAGTTAAACAAACTTGGCCACAATCATCTTTAGTTTAAAAAATATGTCCGATGACCCTGCCTGTCAATGACCGACATGGCTAAAATTAGAAAATAGGGGAAATATGCAAGTTTTGTCTATTATTTTGAAAACCATTATAAATAGAGAAAATCTGACCGTGCAAAAATGTTCAGAACCTTGAGCACTACCAATTGTCTATTGATGTCAAAACTGTCAGATGACTTTTTATAGGAGTTATTGCCCTAAAATGACAAATTTTACCTTTTTTTTCATTTTTGCCTATTATCTTGAAAGTTATAATAGATAGCGAGAAACTTTATATTGCAAAAATGATCAGCAAGACAAGTTCTACAAATAAGTCTGCATAGTCGACTTCTTATTTGAGTTATTGCACTTTGATGACTATTTTTACAAATTTTTTTGAGTTTTTGCCTTATATCTTTTAAATTGTAAGAAATAGATAGAAACTTAATAATGGTGAAAAATGATCAGCAAGACAAGATCTACAATTAAGAAAATATGGTTGACATCGTCCGATGATCTTATTGGAGTTATTGCCCTAAATGACGATTTTTACAATTTTTTTTTGTGTTTTGCCTTATATGATAAAAATTATAATAGATAGATAGAAACTTAAATAAGCAAAAATGATCAGCAAGACGAGATCTACTAACAAGTCAAATTTTGCCAACATAGTTAGTAGACTGTCAATCTTTATTGGAGTGAATGCCCTTAAATGAAGAATTTTTTTACCCTTCTTTGTGTTTTGAGCAAAAACTAAAGAAGATAGAGAGAAAGTAAATAAACAAAATGATCAGCAATACAAGATCAACAAAACAGAGTTTTTCGTCATGAATTCTAATCTTGACTATAATGTTGGAGAGTGTCCATTGTTGAATAATGTTAAGACCAAGGTGAGGGAAACATTCTCTTTAGAGCCTCTAGTTAATGCATGATAAAGTTTGAATACAGAACTAGATGTTTGAATATATTTTGGCATTTTCCTCTTTGATAAAACATTTGAAATTGTCATTATAAGACTAACCACATTTTTCTAAAATCAATTTGCTAGCTTTATATCATTTTCTATCGACTTCTTGAATTCAACCAATTATCTTCATCATTATCATTTCATGAATCCTTGGATATCCTTTGATAGGGTCTTTTTTTAAATTTTAACTGATAAGAGAATTAGTGTAAAAGGGACATTTTTAATTTTAACTGATAGAGAAATCAGAAAAATATAGTCTGAAATAAGATTCTAGCACAATTAAGAACAGAAAAGCCCTTGATTCTCGAATGAAACCTCTCACCTATATTGCTCTGAAATAATAAGACTTTTCTCAACTCAGAATATTAATTTGGGACTTTGAGGATTTGTAACTGCTGAAATTCAATATATTAAACAAAGAAGATTATATTTTTTTACAATTTGTGGTAGGATTAGAAGGTTACTCATTTATAAACTTGTTGAAAGAGGATAACACTCACTATAACTAGTGCATCCCCATCCCTCTTGCCCAAAATCCAGAACCTGCCTAATAACCATACTTATTTTCAGTCTACTGTGAATTCATTATTATTTGTGGGCACCAATTTTTGTTGATTTCGTGTGTATAGGAAAACACAAATTTAAATTTTCAACTAAGTATAAATTACCTATAGGCCTCTACACAATTTTTTGCAAATATCAACAAATATTTCTTTTCTCCTCAATCCATGAAAATTGGTACCCACAAACATAAATTGAATCCATGGTAACTGTGTAGATCAAAGAGTGATTGGTCCCTAGAAATCCTTGTTAGATAGACCCTTTAATTTCAAATCTTTTGTGTGTATCTTCATTTCTAGCCTGGAGTAGTGTCGGCCATTTGTAATGATAAAGCGCAGACTCTGGACAGAGTTCTTAAAAATACATGGTGCTGTACTGATAGTGTTGTCAAGGTAAACCAGATTATCATTACTCATGTTGGATTTGGTAAAAAAAAAATAAAGTGCTATTGATTATTTCATATCAGATATTTATAAAAATATGAGTTTTTTTATAGGTTATGAACATTCTTAAGGATATTGCATTATTAAATTCTACCAGAAATTAATTTGATAACCATTTCTTGTAACAAAATATGGTTTTATATAAAATCAATACGTTTTGTTAATTGTTGCATTAGTAATTGTATAAATGAATTGTCTGTTTAGTGCAAAGTTTTATATGTCATTCCAATCACTATGTTAACTTAAAGTTGTTAATTTATGGATCACAATAACACAAGCTAAGGACTCTTTCTGTTGCACATGTCATGACAGGTAATGTAAAAATTAACCATTTCCTGTTTTTACTTATCAGTCATGCAGTCTTTTAGAATCAGGCAATGTTAATTAATGTTTGTTATCTCCCCTTATGTGATGAGCAGTGATCAAAAATCAGTTATCTCCCCTTACTGGATATCACCATAAATTAAGGATTTTCAGATTATTTGCTTGTGTGTAATGCAAATTTGTTTCATTTCTTCATAAAATTAACTGGAAATACGGCATACTTTAATATGTGAATTTCTAAATTTATAAAAATGCTGATTTTTACATTATTTATTCTTTTCATATAGTCTGTCACTTTTAGAGATGTTATGATAAATGTATGTTCAGTTCTATTCTGTTTACCTAATCGGATTGCTTAATAATACGTATTACATATAATGAACACTCATACAGTCACGATTTTGAATTGCCTGCATTTTTGATTCCTTGAGGTCAAATTACCTCCTGTACCCTACCTTGTATTTCTATCAATATTTTTTCTGAATTTAGTTGTGACATTCAAATTTTTATTCTTTATTAACTGATAAATAATCTAAATTTTAAGTGCCTTTATTACTACATAAAAGAAGCACAAGCTCAAGAAATTTGTTTTTTTAAATGTATTTCTGTTTTAGATACCTGACAAAGAATGGACCCTTTTTAATACTGTTTTAGATACTTGACCCTTTTCAATGCTTGACCTTGATATTCATCTTAAAGATACAATTTTTACTTGTCCTAACGAAATGTACATTCTGTGTAATCTCTTATAGATACAATTTCAAAAAGATGTTTTAACTGTATTTGTTTAACCACAAATAATTGTATTTGAATTATTATTGCTTCAAATTGAATTTATTGGTATGATTTTACAATGTCTTTAAAAAACAATTTCTTCTTTTAATTTGTTTAAATGATTGATTGATTGTTACTAAATGTCCATTGAATTTTTATAAAGTTTAATGTTTTGTTTTCTATAAACTATAATTTTTCTATCAACTTAAATGTTATTGTAATATTTTGCCAGGAAGGTAAAACAGCAATAGAGTTAGCAGAAATCAAAGTGTACGAAGGGAAGAGCGAGAAATGTCTAAGTGTACTGAAAAGTTACAGGAAAACTAGTGTAAGTCATATTATCAAAACCACTTCAGGAGATACTCCACTTAATAGGCCTCTGGTTTGTTTAATGTTAAATACGTGAGTTTTGAAATATTCCCAGAAATAAAAATGAATTTTCCAAGCTTTGCTTTGATGCTTACATATATAACATTTAGATTATTTATAATAAAAATAACCTTTTTCTATTGATTCATCACCAAATAAGAAAAATAATTCAGTTTACAACATTGCTGTCAAAATGTTTAGTTGCTATCCATCCATGAATGTTTGCTATTAGCAATAGATCACTTGATAGCTATCAATACAGCAAGGTTTGATTTTAACCAAGGGGAGATAATTTAGTTGCCATCCACACATTAATGTGTGATGCAAAGGGGAGATTATTTTGTGGATCTAAACATCAATGTTTGATATTAACAAAGAGAAGATGATTAAGTGGCTATCCCGCATTATTGTTTGATATAAGAAAAACAGGAGATGATTAAGTGGCTATCCGCATACTAACATGTGGATGGGTGAAATGATTATTCTATTTAAACTTTAGATGAGATTCATGTAGACTAACAGTGAACCCTGACATGGAAATTGACTTCAGTTACCTTTGACCAGTTAATCTTTGACCAATGAGAATTTGATAGCTACATGTCTGCAGAGATCATTAGCGCGCTTATATTTAAGAAGATAGTTGAAATGCCAAATATTTAAAAAAAAAAAAAAAAAAAAGTTATAAATGCATTTGAAAGTATAAATATTTATCATTTGAAATCTATCTTTTCCAGCAATTAATTCATGCAGTTTTGTGTCATGATGTTGAGACAACAAGAAAATTATTAGAAAGAGAAAAATTGCCTGTTAATATTAGATTTAGGGTAAGTATTTCACATATAGCATCATAATGGTTTGCAAATAGTTTCCAACTTATATTAGAATCTCTTGAAACTCATCATAAAATGCACAAATGAATCAATTAGGATGAAGTTTGATTGCAAAATTTAGTAAAAATGAATATGTTGAAATCTTTTTTAGAGTTTTGGTATTGGTACCTACTTATGAGTGAATGCTATACAAATACCAAAAGACAGTCATTTTTAGATTGTTGGGTATATGTCTGAATAGAAGTCACTTAACTTTCGTTTTTTATGCCTTGCTCAAGATAACGGCGGGGCTTAATTTCCAGTCTGTGTTTAGGTCTGTCTACTAGTTCATTTGTCCATCTTGTATCAGGTTCATTTGAAACTTAGTACAATTGCATCTTATGACATGAACTGTTAAATATATAAGCCAAATTAAAAGTTTTGAACCAGATTCACAGTTTACTAACACAGAAATGTAATAGTGAGAGTTGTGGCCTATGGACAATCATATTGTTTCCTTTTGTTATCAAATAATTTCTTACTGGAAAAATTCGAAATATTAATGTGCTTTTGTTATCATTTACCAGTTAGTTTGACTAGTCATGAAATATTAATGTGCTTTTGTTATCATTTACCAGTTAGTTTGACTAGTCATTAATATGCAGGATGTTAAGCAACCAACAATCAATCAATCAATCAGACAATCAATCAATCAATCTTTAATCATCATTATTTAAGGTATTGACTTTCATTTATGTTTATATTTTAGTTTAGTTAAATACAAAACCTGTTTCTAACACCATTATTATTATTTATACAGGATAGAATAGGAAAGACATTGTTATCGCACTGCATAGAACAGCACAATATAGAGTTAGTCAGATTACTAGTAGAACATGGTGCCAGGGTCAATCAAATCAGAGTTCGTCTACACGAGGATGTAAGTTTTTAAAGATTCTTAAACTTTTAGCCCATTGATACTATCCTCGGCCCATTGTTTTTTGTTTTTTTTTATAATCAATGTGTGGAAAGTTTGATCTCAGCTGTTCATTGGTAAAAACTAAATTATGATGTCATATTTTCTTTCTTTCTTCTGGATTCGCTATTTTGACGACATGAAAAAAGGTGACCATGCTTGATGACATCACATAAAAAGAACACATCTAGATCATTTGCAAATCATTAGAAGAGAAAGATAAAGTTTGTCCTAAACTCATTAGAGAATCAGATTTCTCTCATTTTTTCACTATTATCACATTTTCCAAACGATTGTGAAAAACTTGTTCTCCTCACTAGTGAAATATCTGTTCTTAGCAAATGATTAGACAAAATTTAATTATGACGTAAAATTTTCTTGATTTCTTCTGAATTTCCTATTGTGACGTCATGAAAAAAGGCAACCATGCCTGATGACATCACATATAAAGAACACAACTTTCTGCAAATCTATGAAAAGGAAGGATAAAAATCATTAGAGAAACAGATTCCACCACTATAACTCGTGTATTACGATATTTCTCCACTCTCAACAGTTAAACTTTAACTATTTAAAAAGCTTGGCAAGCCTCGCTCTTTAAATATTAAAATTTAACTGTCTCAAGTGGAGAAAAAATCGTAACAAACTTGTTGCTGTAGTGGAATCTATATTTCATCTCAGCTTCTCATGCAATAGGATATTTCTCCACTCTAAGGATTTAAATTTTAAGTATTTAAAATGCATATCAAGCCTTGGGTTTTAAATTAGAAAATTTAACTTTCTGGAGTGGATATATATTATTACGCTCAATTCAGTGGTAGCTAGAATCTATATTTATCATACATTTGATATTGAAAATCTTGAATCCTCAGATTTGATGTTTTCTGTCAGAATGGATTAACATGTGCAATAAATGCTATATAGGGATGTTATTCATAAAAATTTAGCATGAAGGCTGACTTAAAAGGGTTTTCATTAAGGTCTAGATTACTCACCTGCTGATATTTACACAACAGATATAGCACCATCAGCTGGCAATATGGCTTAATTTTAATTGTTCCCTTCCGTTGTCGGAGAAAATTTGAAATGTATATGGATAAAGGTCCCATACACGCTTGAAATTTCCTTGTAAACATAGAAAAATGACCCATGACACATAAAAAAAAAGTTGCAACTCCAAAAGGCAACTTTGTCATATTGTCTTTTGACAAAGTCTATATGTTGACCCCTAGATGTCTTGATTTTTGTGTGTCATTGTGTTGCTTTTTCATTGATGTATTCCCCACATCTCCTTCATATCAGAATATTCTGGCATTGGTCAATTTTTTAACCAGTTTTCATTATGTTGCTTTCAAACATTATCTTTGGTGTTCCAAAATTTTAAGATAACTCTAGAAAAATAAGTTTAAAAGAACAAATGTTACATTTTATTTTGATAATATACAAATATGTTGTATTGGTTTTTGTTTCAGACTGATGTAACGATACCTTTATTTCATAAATGTTTATGTGACAACGATTGTCTCGATATTGCCAAATTCTTAAATCCTCAAATGGATCCAGCTGAACACAAGGAGAAAGATCAAGTAAGTTGCTGCAAATTTTTTTTACCCATAATCCAAGGGAGTGGGTATACTGCATTACCTTTGTCCCTATTTCTGTTCTATGAAAATTTTGTTGTAAATGGCATTTGTCCCAGAAACTACAAATGAAGACATTCTATACCTTGTGATGTGTTTTTTTTCAATCGTGGACATAAAGGGCACTGTTCAATTCAATAATCACGGTAATTTTGTCTTGGAAAATGTCTAAATTGATATAAGGTCACATATAATGAGAGGAAGTTCCTTAATGATTTTGAGGTCTCCATGTTTCAGATTACATGTAGGTCATGTCTGTCAAATATATATGGCTGTTTCCCGTCCCTTGCAGTCAAGTCATAGTAGATACACTAACTTGGCAGCTTTATGAATTTTGGGTTAGATAAAAAGTTTGTACCTCCGAAGTTTATCATGATATTGTCTCCACATCTTTATTTTCTAAATATAGTAACAAAGTTATTTTTGTACACTGCCAATTTCAATTCAATTTCCTTCACAATTAGGGGCTCATTTAGGGGTCGCAAATAAGTTTTAATTTTGTTTTATTACTTTAATTGCTATTCTAAACTTTAATAGCTGCAACATAATATTGGATCAAAGTCTGAAAAGAATTTTTTCCGGAAATTGACCTCATCTTCCATTTGTTTAAGTATTGTGTATTGTTAATTTCCAGGCAGGAAATACAGCCGTGTTGGCAGCAATAGAGAAAGGTTTATCTGTACGATTTATACAGTGGTTAATACAAGTAACCCGAGGATCAGCCTTAGTTGATAGGAACGCTGTAAGTTTACTTAAGACCACACTAAGTTAATGCATTGTTCCTCTGACCCCTACATTTCAAAAAAAGGAGCGTGAGAATGAAAATTTCATTTAAAATTTTTCTCCAAAATTTTGTTTTTCAGAGGCGAAAACAAATTTCTTCCAGTGTGCGACGATATTTTAAAACAATTTTAAAACAAAACGAATAGAAAGAATTATATTCAAGCAAGCAACACTTTTAAAAATTAATGGAAGGATATTTTTCAAGTGAGCAAAAAAAGATTTTGCACTTCATTGGTGCTTTATATTCATATTTCTGTATATCATTTAAGATTATTCTGTATTGCTTCTGGGTTCATTTCTGACACATGAAATCGACACCAATGAGGTTATCTCCTCTAAATCTTTGCATAAAGACTTCCATGCAGCCCTTGATATACTTTGAAAAAAACAGTGACAAGTAGATCATGTTTGTAGGTGCTAAAACAGTGAAAGTAGCAAATACTGATATTATACATGTGTATGAACAAGTGACTTCAAATCTTATTATCATGCAGGGCTGAAAGCTTCTGATATATGAGTTGAATTGAACACTTGTGAACACTCAACCATACAGACATCTGATGTATGTTATTTTAGAATGGTAAAATGATAAATGGTATCTTGGAATTTTCAAGCATGCAAAACTGACCTTTAACTTAAAGAAAAATATACCATGTTTGAGAAGATACATACTTGAGTTACATACACACTTGGAGTTTTTCGTAACACTGAGCCAAAAGATGTTTTTATGCAATATTTTGATCATACATAGTTGAAATATTTTATATGGTTATATGATATTCAATATGTCACAAGGTAATTTTTTAAGGGTATCAAACTGCCTTAATTAGTTTGGTGAAAAATGCTTATATTTAGTTTTTCTCTTCAAGGATGGACTGACACCAAAAGAACTTGCAACAGCCAAAAATAATACGGAAGTTGTAAAAATGATAGACAAGGTCAGTATATTTTATATGCAAAAATGTTTTTTTTTAGGGGGTATTACTGTTTCCCATGATAAATGAGGGAATTTTGTCCTTTTACATTTTTGTTTTCTCATGTTTTAGATTTATTTGACAACTATTTAGTTTTTGCACATACAAACTTACAAAAAGGAGAAGGTTATGGGGTTGGGGGAGTAGGAGAGGGTGTCATCCTGAATCCCCTGAAAAATAAAACATTTTTTCCCGGATCCTGAAAAATTTAAAATCATTAATTCTTGAGTCCCAATAAGTGTAAATCAGGAATGTTTTAAGCCTTGGCTCATATCTATTTTGACCAAAATCTATGTGTGAATTGGTCATTTTATTTACACAGTACATTCTATTTAGAATCAGGGCAATTTACAGCTTGACATATTGTATAAACACTTGTCTGAATTATGTGTGCTACCAAAATATTTGTAACAACCCTATTACCTATGGCAAAACTTAAAAAATTGTTAAGAACACCATGTTGCAGTCATGTTAATGTCATGAATTTATACACCTGTGATACAGAAAGTCTTGTTGTCTAGGGATTTAATATTATCATTGGCAACTTTTGATCACTAAACATTTTGGATTCTTGGTTGCCACCATGGGTTTCTTAAAGCTTTTAGGTCTGAAAAATGCACAAAATCATCATATTTTGACAATATATCCAAAATGTGCTGATTTTGAAGCCTAGGATGTACTGTTATGAAGAGATTTGTTTAACCTTGTAGTAAGGCTTTTGAAAAAGATCCATTTAAGAACCAAATTAGGGCCATTTTGAAATTTTATGATGGATGTTGAAATTCAAGGCCAAATTTGGCCTAAAGTGTACCTTGTTCTTTATGTGATTGTGTTTTTTTTTCTTTACAGTACATAGTTCAGAATGTTGTACAAGAATCAGGGATACCAACTCTACTTTTACCTCAGTTTGCCATCAATTTTAGTTGTGAGGAGGATATTACTAGAATAACTGATGAGGTTTGTCTCCATTTATAGCGAAATCAATATGTTTAGTATATTCCAAACAGAATGTTGTGTGTATTGTACAAATTTATTTTCTTACTTCAAATGTTCACTTTTATTTGTTAAGGGCTGTTCCAAAATAAATTGCATAGGGGTCATGGGAGGCACTTTTTTTTAGACCTCAACCACCTGTAATATAAAATTTGTATTTTACCAATGACTCTTTAACCTGAATAATTCAGTCCCTCCCCGTAATCAATCTCTCCTACTTGCTAGGGCCTGAATTCCTTACACGATAAAAACTCTTCACGAATCCTGGATTTTGATTGGTGCCCTGTAGGAGAGATGACCTATCAGCAATCAGCTCAATTTTATCGAGATAGGTAAATCCCGAGCTAATTCTGTATGATTGATTGAAGATTTTTCATTATCAATGCATTCAGGCGTTGATGGAGTAATCGTAGATCAGCGGAATGTAACGACTGAATTATCCGGGTTAATGACTCTTACATTATTTTAAAGAAAATACAACCCCCCACAATTAATTAATTTGAGTGCTCCCCCATCCCCCTACCTCAAACAATTTTGGAACAGCCCTAATGTTAAATTTAAAATTACATATTTTGGTTTCACATTTTTGAGTAAAGATTTGTATTTCTGGTAGGGAGACTGGTCTTCACATAGAAATCCAGAATAAATGTTAAAAAAAAATGGATAAAATTTGATATTTATTTATTCATCGTACTGGTATTCCTAAACTGTTAGTATCATGTTTGTTTTCAGTACATATTATTCATTACAAAACAAATGTTCCAAAGTGGTTACAAGAACAAAATGTAAAGATTAAGTACTGGTGCTGGCCTAAAAAATCAAGGGTTTTTAAGGTTGTCAAGGGTTGTTAAAAAAAATTTAAAAGACCCAATACTTAAAACAGAGCACACCATTTTTTATTCTTTATTCAACAATACTTAACAAATAGATATAGGAAGAAGTGGTATGAGTGCCAATGAGACAACTCTCCATCCAAGTTACAATTTATAAAAGTAAACCATTATAGGTCAAGGTACGGCCTTCAACACGGAGCATTGGCTCACACCGAACAGCAAGCTATAAAGGGCCCCAAAAAATTACTAGTGTAAAACCATTCAAACGGAAAAACCATCGGTCTAATCTATATAAAAACGAGAAACGAAAAACATGTATGAACTACATAAACAGAAGACAACTGCTGTACATCAGATTCCTGACTTAGGACAGGTGCAAACATTTGCAGACCTTTAAGATCAAAATATTGGTCTGCCATATTTTGTTTAATAGATTTTCGTGTTTTTCCTTTTTTTATTTGATAGTTGTACATTTGAAAATTTCTCAATATTTGCCTGTTTTGCCAAGTCTGTATCACTTGTATAAATCTATTTTATGTAATAACAGTTGTCTATTTAATTTTTGCAGAAGACAAAGAAAACATTGATTGAGCTGCTGCAGGACAGTAATGATAAATATAATATGAAGAAATGGTTAAATTTTAAGGAAGTTGGGGTAAGATTTTTATGTTTTGTTGCCTTATTATATATTGTTCAACAATAAGGATTTTGAGTATGAATATTTTTTTTATAACTGTCAGCTTGTATAGTTTATTTTGTAATGATTTTTAGTCCTTTCAGAAGTTTTTTAAAAGATTTGTAATGGTATTTGCCTGTTTTAAGTATTTCTCTATCTAGAAACATTTTATGAATCCTTTGGTTTTTTGTCGAGCCTGCGACTTTTGTCGCAGAAAGCTAGACATAGGGATAGTGATCCGGTAGCGGCGGCAGCGTTAGTTAACTTCTTAAAAGCTTTATATTTTAGAAGGTGGAAGACCTGGATGCTTCATACTTTGTATATAGATGCCTTATGTTACGAAGTTTCCGTCTGTCACATGTCCATTGTCCTTGACCTCATTTTCATGGTTCAGTGACTACTTGAAAAAATAGTTGTGATTTTTTGTAATGTTAATTTCTCTCTTATTATGAGTAATAGGATAACTATATTTGGTATGTGCGTACCAATCAAGGTCCTCATGCCTGTCAGACAGTTTTCACTTGACCTCGACCTCATTTCATGGATCAGTGAACAAGGTTAAGTTTTGGTGGTCAAGTCCTTATCTCAGATACTATGAGCAATAGGTCTAGTATATTTGGTGTATGGAAGGATTGTAAGGTGTACATGTCCAACTGGCAGGTGTCATCTGACCTTGACCTCATTTTCATGGTTCAGTGGTTATAGTTAAGTTTTTGTGTTTTGGTCCATTTTCTTATACTTTATGCAATAGGTCTACTATATTTGGTGTATGGAATGATTGTAAGGTGTACATGTCCAACTGGCAGATGTCATCTGACTTTGACCTCATTTTCATGGTTCAGAGGTCAAAGTTAAGTTTTTGAGTTTTGGTCTTTTTTCTTATACTATATGCAATAAGTCAACTATATTTGGTGTATGGAAATATTCTATGATGTACATGTCAGTCTAGCAGGTTTTATTTGACCTTGACCTCATTTTCACGGTTCATTGCTTGGTGTTAAGTTTATGTGTTTCAGTCTGTTTTTCTTAAACTATAAGCAATAGGTCAGCTATATTTGTTGTATGGAAGGATTGTAAGCTGTTCATGTCTGCCTGGCATGGTTCATCTGACCTTGACCTCGTTTTCACGATTCATTGGTCAATGTTTAGTTTTCTTAGTTAAGTCTGTTCCTTAGAAACTATAAGCAATAGGTCAACTATATTTAGTGTATTGAATGATTGTAAGGTGTACATGTATTTCTCGTTTTGTTTATATGACCTTGACTTCATTTTCTTGGATCATGTTAAGTGTATGTAATAGTTGAAGTAAAGCTTTCATTTAGGACTATCAACATAATATCAATGGTTAGTAAAGAAGGCGAGACATTTCAGCGTGTGCACTCTTGTTTTTCTAGGCTATGCATCACACATGTTTGCACAATACCTATATTTTTAATCTTTTTTAAAAACTTATGTCACAAATTAATATCTTGTTACATATTTTGATTTTTTTGCATACAGTTAATCATTCATTTCTGCCCATACATTTCATATGAAAAGACCAGAGACATTTTTTCTCTAAAATATTTTTTTCAATAGCTTTGATCCCAAAAAACAAGAAAATGACCTATCATTTATCTTAATTAATTTTGATGTATTATATAATATATATTAGAAAGTTTTTACATCTCTCTATGAGATCTCAATGCCAAGAGGACAAGATTAAAGTTGATGTCCAATCTCTTAAAGATTCAACAATAGAATTTTCAAATCTGGTGTACCTAACTTAATTTTTGACAGAGAAAATGGTCTGCATTGTTTTGTAGACCAAAGTTTTTAAATCATCACTTTTAAGCAAATTAAATATTTTTTTTGTTTACAGAACTATGCAGAAAAAATCATGAGAGCAGCCTCTGGTGGTGATATATTTGAAAAAGAAATAAGAATGAAATCGTCAGATGGAGGCTTGACTTACATTAAAGAAAAATATGATGCTAATTATCGGGATAGGGTAAGTCAGACTGAAAATTTTATTTTTTGTATGTCTTAATTGTGTAATTGAAAAGAAAAAAATTGCATACATCGTCTTATGTTTTTAAGTTCACCACATTGAATTTGAACTGCACTACTTAAAGGAAGCCACATTGTTTACATCAGCATCCAAAACTATTGACCTTCAATTATAGTTAGGAATATTTCATTTTTATGCATGTAATAATCTTTTTCATAAAGTTGTCCTGTAATTCTCAATAATTGATAAATAGATAACACTGTGGTCAAAATAAAAAAAGATGAACTAACATAAAAAAAAATCCACAAAACACTACACAGCACAGAAAAAAGAATGAGAACACGAACCCCAATGAAAGGGCAATGAGGAACTCTGGTGCTCCGGAAGGGTAAGCAGTTCCAGTTCCACTAGTGGCACAGTGGTTTTGCTTATATCTAAGTTATTGTAAGACTTTTGTTTGCTTTAAGCAAGTAATAGATTGTCATTCTAGAAGAATTGCAGTAATGCAAAATGAAACAACTAAATCACATCTTAGGAATGATAAAGTTTAGTATTTCAGTTACAAAATAAACTAAAACATTTTATTTTTTTTTTATTTTCTAGAATGGTTTTACAGCAATGACAAGAGCAATAGTTTTCCACAAATTTGATATTATTGAATATTTATGTACAACACGACCTATGCTGAAGACACTTCCTGATAGTGTAAGTCTGAAGAATTTTAAAAAATCTGATAAATGTGTGATATACATTGCATTGAAACATATTTACAAAGAACCTTTCGGGGATTGAGGGTTTTGTTTCAATTCTACATTTGTTTATACAGGTTAAAATTCCAAAAAAAAAATTGTCAGTGGTAGATAGAAAAGTTCACTCTACACTGGTTTATTATTGGTTTATTATAGTTTACTCATTCTTCATTTTAATATTTTTACTGTATTCCTTTAGCTTTAAATCTGAAATTTCTTTGTCTTAGAAGTAAAGTAGAAGTTTTCTCATAATTTTTAACATTACAGGAAAAACTATTCCAGATACAGTTTTTATTACTTTGCCATTTTATGATATTGTTTGTCAATGCCATTTAACATTTTTTTTTTAGGAGTATCAATTTTCTGTTCTGTCCCTGGATTCTCCATCTTATTTCCAATTAACCCTTCCACTATTGATTTTTTTTATATATAAATACTCATTTTGCATAGAATATCTCAATAAAATTTTAGAAATAAGCCTATTTTTATTAATGAAAAAAAACTTTTAAAAACATGGTGACAGCAATTTGAAGAAAAAATTATCATTTTGGAATAATAATGCATAAAAAAAAAAAATATTTCATCCAAAATATTCATGTCAGATATTCCCAACTACTTTTATAATTCATATTGGTTACATTATTTGATGAAGTCATAGTGATACAGAATTTTGAAAACATACATTTCAACTATGGTACCACATATAGGTGTCAAAAGATGTAATGATGAAATAAGAGGGGAGGCGTCAAAAAGCATCATTATAGAGGAAACGTGTGGTGTCAAAAGGTGTCATTGTGAACCCTTTGTCATATAATTAAAAAAAAATATAATTCTGTTCTGAAGATATAATTAGCTTCTAAAAACTGTTTACTATAACCACTCTGTGATACATCAAGATTTAACGTGTCACATATTTTACAATTTTACTTGTGTATCAAATGGAGCAATACACACTTATAAATATTAGTAGTACAAAAGTCCAGCTTATGTGTGTTTATTTTTAGTTTAATAGATACCCACTCCATTATGCATATGCCTTACCAGAACCTGAGAGTGAGAGAGTGAGGAAGCTGCTACAGGAGAAAAATCCCCAGGAAATAGAGAAAAGAGTGGATAAAGTAAGTAGTATCTTTTATTGTATGTTGAGAACTATTTACGCCATGTATTTTCTGGATGATATTCTTTTTAAGTTATTTGTATTGTTAATAATTATTTTGTGTGCAAAATAATTTAGATCAGATTGATCTCACACATTTGATTTATATAGATGAGCTTGATATTATTGATTAAGATGTCAATTTATAAAGGGAGGATTAATGGGGGAAATAGATTGTGATTTCAATTCCAATTTAATACATTTTCTACTGAAACTATTGTTCTTGGATTTCATTGACAAAACCAAGGGAAAATACAAAATTTATTTCACTTTAATTTTGATAAAAAAGCTAGTTTTTTAATATCTTTGTATACAATTTAAGTTCCAAGTGCACACTAGCTAATTACACCTCTGTCATGTAGTTTGAGGCAACAACAATTTACTGATGTTCAAATCTAATTAATTGATTAAAATGACAAATTAAAGAAGCAAACAAAATTTGAGGAATCATAAGAACATCAAAAGAAGCAAGACCGGATGTGTGGACTTGGTACGTGTTTCTTGCTTGGCATGTACCACCCGTCATTTGAATCCAAACTCAGTAAAAGAATGTTATAACAAGAAGCTAGAAACATTTGGAAAAAACAATATTTTCTGGTATCATGAGGTCTAAGACTGCAAAAACATGTCGCTAGTGAGTTAATACACAGATATATTGTATCTATAAACCCATTTGTGATTGTGAATGTAAAACTTATGTAGTCTCGATTTCAATCGTTCATCCATTAACTCTGTTGGAGCAGTTTTTGTTTTAAGAGCACACCCTGGTAATGAAGTTCGCACAATTTGAACATGCAAGAGGGTAACTTATCAATTGAGATATGTAAACGCCATACAATTTTGTAGATACAATACTTAGTATTACTTTATTAACTTGATTTGTTTTTTCTTAATCGATTTACAATTTCGATTTGAACATTGGTAAAGAATGGTGGAAAGCTAGAAAGCTATTTTGCATTTTTTAGTCTGAGAAATTTGTGTTCGTCTGCAAACAAATCAATTTGCAATAACTGTTTAATCTTTTTTTAGGATGGACTTTACCCTGCAGACTATGCAGCACTTCGGGACAGTCTGAAAGTCCAACAGATATTATATGATGCTAGAACATTAAATGTTTATGCACAGGTTGGTTGATAAATAAAATTATTGCAAGCATGCTTTGACACAATATTATTTATTATTGTTGTGAAAGGATTTGTTTGACCTTGACCTCATTTTAACGATTCAAGATTTTATAATAAATATAAAAATAAGAAAATGTGGTATGATTGCAAATGAGACAACTTTCCACAAGAGACCAAATGGCACAGAAATTAACAACTATAGGTCAGTTTACAGTATTTTAGAGTTATAGGTCATCTATAATCGGTAGATAGAAATATTGTAAGCCCGTGTACATATCAATCTGAGAGGATATATATGTGCTTATGCAAGGTTGGGAATATAATGAGTAACCAACCATATTTTCCATTAGGAACATTTGAAAAGCCTTATAAAAAACTTATTAGTATATATGGACATTAACTTTTTTTTACTAGAATATTTTGAAATTTAGTACATTTGGTAGTATTTACTATTTTACACACAAAGATATGGCCGAAGATCATATAAATTTAAAAATTTCTATTACAGTAACCTTAATTTTGTTTTTTTAGAGAGGACCTCCATTAGGACGATGGCCAGTTGGTGCTTTAAAAGACCCACCAGAGGAAGAATAGATGTTTTTTTTCAAAAGAATCATCAAGTGATATTTTTAAACATTAAACATGTTTGTTACACAAGAGATGATACAGTGTAAAAAGATCTTTAGTTCTCACTTAACGCATGCTTAACGAATTTTAACTCCATTGAAGTTAACAAAATACTGAAAACTTGAAATGCCAAATGACTCATTGTTGTTAGTAAATGCATTTAATATGTATATTGAAGAAAAGAAATAGTGAAATGTGGCCAAGTGAAACTGTTTTTATTTGGCGCCAAAATGAATTCCAAATACGACTAATTGAGGTTTTTGCATAATCATGTATGTACTCGCATATCTTTGTCATAATTTTGTAAATCATGTTTTTGGTGTATGTGATGCAAGTAGTGTCATACTAGTACAATTGTAATGAGTGAACATTTACATGTTTATACTAAGTCATTAATAATAAGGCATTGTGTACTTCAATAAAGACTGACAAAGTACTTTGGTTCAGAATGACAAATTACTTTAAGTCCAGATTGGCAAAGTACTTTAGTTCAGACTAGTAAAGTACTTTAGTTCAGACTGGCAAAGTACTTTAGTTCAGACTGGCAAAATACTTACATTCAGACTGGCTAAGTACTTTAGTTCAGACTGGCAAAGTACTGTAGTTCAGACTGGCAAAATACTTTAATTCAGTCTGGCAAAGTACTTTAGTTCAGACTGGCAAAGTACTTTAGTTCAGACTGGCAAAATACTTTAATTCAAACTGACAAAGTACTTTTGTTCAGACTGGCAAAGTTCTTTAATTCAGAATGGCAAAGTACTTTAATTCAGAATGGCAAAGTACCCTACTTTAATTCAGACTGGCAAAATACTTTAGTTCAGACTGACAAAGTACTTTAGTTCGGACTGGCAGAGTACTTTAGTTCGGACTGGCAAAGTTCTTTAGTTCAGACTTGCAAAGTTCTTTAGTTCAGACTGGCAAAGATTAAGAGTTTTACTTATCTTTTGGTGCAAAAAAGTGTGTTGAATTCATTAAAGAGGAACAATTTGAACTTAAACTGAAGACTTAAAAGGAGTTGTAAAAGTTTTTCCAGGATGAAGTAGCAGCAAAATTAATCAAAAACAAGAAAGGAACCAATATGCCAAAAAATTGTGAGAATGTTTTCTGATTTTCAAATATATTGGCATTGAGCTTCACTGAAAAGACATACATTATGGAAATGCCCATCTGGTGCAGTAAAATTGATATTGGCAATATTATAAAATATTTATGGTACAATTCAGTTCAGGTTTATAAATTTGTTTTATATTTAACATTATCTGATATTGCTCATTAAGAATAAACAGGGTGCCCTAATATTTATAGGGCATACAATATTGTAAAAAAAAAACCAGTATTTTTGTCTCTTGAAAAAATGGCAATACTATTCTTGTTGTGATTATTACATCAAGATTTTACTATAATATAGAAATTATGAATGAGTGTATGATAAACCTCATTTATACGCATTTACACTGAAAACAAACCCCCAAATGTTCTTCATATTTGTATGTTTCTTTGGACGTTAGTTAATTACAGAACCACACACTGCAGTTTCTTTTTAAATTAAAGTTATCATTATCTAAGTGGGTTTTTTTAATGTTGCAAATAAAAAGACCTTATATGGTATTTTTTTAAGTCCCTAAAGCTCCAAGTGTTAATGCATCCCTGGCTTTCAAATTGTTAATTTTAATCGTACCTGATGATTGCTAATACAAAAAGGGCTTCGAAAATACCAAATGTACAACATTTTTTTTTTTTTCATATTCAATCATCATAAAGATGTAGTATGTAAATGTACTACCCCATAACAAAACCCAAAATACTTCCGATATTTTTAAAGGATGATTCGGAAATGTGTAAAAAAGTGGTGAAAACATCCTTCAAACAAACATAATATTTTAAGTTTTCCACTATATTTTGTGTTTGATATATAATTTTTTTTTCAATTAAGATATAATATAATGTGATAACCCTAGAGTATTTATTATGTATTAATAAAGTGATAATGCTCAGCCATTTTAAACCTGTGATATTTGTTTTCTTTAATTTTAAGTTTCATATTGATTTATGCAGATATATTGCTTTGTTAGAACCAAAATACATTGTTTATGCAATGTTTAAAATTAGAATGAATGTTCTTTTACTGATTAAAATCAATTAAGCTTGATTGCACTCTTAGCTATGTGTTCTCAAATTAAGATCAAACAAATAATTGTAAGTAGTAAATCAACAGATATATTGTTGCATTTTTGCAAAATAAATTTTATACTATATAATAAACACTTTTTATGATTTGTTTTGTACCATGAAAATTAAAAGTTATATGGTATAGTAGCATTTGTACAAAAATATGTAACTATTTACATTTTTGAAATGTGAAGAAAATGTTGGTTTGAAATATTCATATTCTGACTACACAATTTTCAGTCAAAAACAAATCATATGTGTCAAATTTAAATCAAGAAAAATTATTGATAAGCTAAGTAATGGACAAAAGAATGAGAAAAATTATCTTGAAATGAATTGGGTATGGTTTTGGTTTAAATAGTCCAATTTCATCTTAAAAAATTAATTATGCTATGAAGTAATTGTTTTCTCAATCATTGTTTTTAATCAGAATTAAAGTTTATTTTTTATACTTACATCTGTGTTGTGTTTTGTATCTGAACTGCATCTAGAAATTCATTGTTTATATATTTATATATGAACCCGAAGCCTGCAATCTACAGTTGATTCTCTAAGCTGTTTTATCTCACTTGAAATGGTAGTCACAGTTGGCCAAACTTGAGGATGTACTAAGGTAAAATTAAACAAATCTAGAATTTAATATTGAAACTATAAGTCAGAAGAGCATTAGTAATGGAACAAAATAAACTTAAAATATTGGTAGGTTATGAAGCGCCTTTTCGAGATATTTAATTTTTTTTAAATTGCGGGAAAAGACTGACTCGGACTTTTACCTATACTTGCATTGGTATTATTTTGGTCTCAGATCAAAAGAAAAGAAATCTAGAATTTGCTTAAATTTTGGAAAATTACCTTTTATAAGCTATTGAAGTCTTATATGAAAAGAAAAATGGGTGTTATGGGGCAAAATATTTAACCCTGTATCATAGAATAAAAACCAAAGAATCCGAACATCGGACAAAAATTCCTAAACCTCACTTAAGTACATCTTTAACATATTCCAGACAATGGTGATTACGATATTATCATTGCTAGTAATCTCAATGTGGTCCTCATTTTCATCTACGAGGAGGCATGGCATGAGAAGACTTTGTAAGTTCATCAATTTAACCTGACCTGACCTCGACCTCATTTTCATGTTTTAGTGGACAGGGTTAGTTAGGTCAGAATTTTTTTTGTATGTTTATTTTTTCAAGGAGGATATATCTGTCTGACATGTTTTATTGTCTTGTCCTAATTTTTTTTTGTTCCAGCAAACACGATAATTTTACTATATTGGTCTTTTCCTTAGTAACTATACATGATAGTTTCTGTATTTGGCATGTTGATTGTTTGTATAGAGAATATGTCTGTGACATGTCATAGGATCATGAACTTTTTAGATTACATAAGTCGTCATGTTAAGTTCACACATATGAGTCTGTTCCTTAAGAACTTTACATGACAGGTCAACATCATTTGGTTTTAAGATTGCATGGGAGAAGCAGATGTTTATCTAAAATATTTTATATTAACTTGACCTCAATTTTAGACTCCAATTATGGTTTGAAAATGAGGTCTGTTTCTCTCTGACTTTATACAAGATATATTGATAATATTTATAATGTGGATTTGTTTGCAATTGTGAGGAAGATATGTCTGCTTTACATATGTCATATGACCATGACCTTAAATTCATGCTCCAGGGTCAGGTGATATTTTTCAAAGATGAAATCTGTTCCTCGGTAACTAATCTTGATAGGTCAGGAATATTTGATATATGGTTGCAAGGATGTTGTCCATCTGACTAATGACATAATTGGTAATTTGTCATTTGATTTTTGTCGAGCCTTCGACTTTAGTCGAAAAAGCGAGACAGTGATCCTACATTCCGTCGGCGTCGTCGTCGTCGTCGTCGTCGTCGGCGGCGGCGTCCACATATATTCACTCTGTGGTTAAAGTTTTTGAAATTTTAATAACTTTCTTAAACTATCCTGGATTTCTACACAACTTGGACAGAAGCTTGTTTATGATCATAAGATAGTATCCAGAAGTAAATTTTGTAAAAATAGAATTCCTGTTTTTCCGTATTTTACTTGTAAATGGACTTAGTTTTTCTGCCAGGAAACATTACATTCACCCTGTGGTTAAAGTTTTTAAAATTTTAATAACTTTCTCAAACTATCCTGGATTTGTACCAAACTTGGAGAGAAACTTGTTTACGATCATAAGAAAGTATCAAGAAGTAAATTTGTAAAAAAAAAAAAAATCATTTTTTCCGTATTTTACTTATAAATGGACTTAGTTGTTCTGCCAGGAAACAATACATTCACTCTGTTGTTAAAGTTTTTAAAATTTTAATAACTTTCTCAAACTATCCTGGATTTGTACCAAACTTGGACAGAAACTTGTTTATGATCATAAGATAGTATCCAGGAGTAAATTTGTTAAAAAAAAAATTCATTTTTTCCGTATTTTACTTATAAATGGACTTAGTTTTTCTGCCAGGAAACAATACATTCACTCTGTTGTTAAAGTTTTTAAAATTTTAATAACTTTCTCAAACTATCCTGGATTTGTACCAAACTTGGACAGAAACTTGTTTATGATCATAAGATAGTATCCAGGAGTAAATTTGTTAAAAAAAAAATCATTTTTTCCGTATTTTACTTATAAATGGACTTAGTTTTTTTGCCAGGAAACAATACATTCACTCTGTGGTTAAAGTTTTTAAAATTTTAATAACTTTCTTAAACTATCCTGTATTAGTACCAAACTTGGACAGAAGCTTGTTTATGATCAAAAGCCAGTATCTGGAAGAAAATTTTGTTAAAATTTTGTACCTGTTTATTCGTATTTTACTTATAAAAGGACTTAGTTTTTCTTCCAGTTAACATTAAATAAAGTCTGCAGTTAAAGTTTTTAAAACATTTATTAGATTCATAAACTATCCTGGATTTATACCAAACTTTGACAGAAGCTTCTTACAATCAAAAGATAGTACTTATCTAAAGGAATATTTTTATTGATTTTTTTCCTCATTTTGTGGAGCCTTCGATTAACAGCAAAAGTAGGCGAGACACTGGGTTCCGCGGAACCCTTACGAACTTTTATTCTATTTGGTATGCATCTCATAAATTACACATAAGAAATGAAAGATATCTTATATATAAGTTTTTTCATATGCATGAATGTGAGTTTCAGCATTGATTTTAGTCATCATGGCTCAGGTGAAACTCGAAAACTTACTGATAATGATGCATACTCATAAGGTAACAGACTGCAGGATGAAAATGTCAATCTACTCGGACACATTATGCTAATTCAGGGCAAACCAGGATTTAATCTTACTCCAAAATGCCACGTGAAACGGTCCACAAATGAAGTTTTATTCATCTTCTTACTGATCATATTTGCTGTTCTCACTATCTTCTTATCTCTTATAGTTCCAAAATTAAGAACAAACCAATAAAAAAGCGAGACATATCGATTCTAGATTCCATTGGCAGCGTCAACATTTATGTGCAGTCTATGGTTAAAGTGTTTTTTAGCGTATTTTACTGATAAATGGACATAGTTTGTGATGTAGTTACCATTCAGATTTAGTGTGAGGTTAAAGTTTTTTCAGTCATCAATACGTCAAACCTTCATGGAAGTTTATGAAATTTGGACCGAAGCTGTACCAAGTCAGGAATATGACAGTTGTTATCCATTCATATTGATTCACTTATAGGGTCGTTGCATCGGAACTAAACACATTTATTTAAAAACCAGTTGTTGGCATGACACGGGTTATGTTCTTCTCATATATGCTATGATGGTATGATACTAAACCCCTAACGGGAAGGATTGTGCCTGATATTCATATGATGAAGACATAATCTTTCAATCAGTTTAATTGAAGTCTGGAGCTGGCATGTCAGTTAACTGCTAGTAGTCTGTTGTTATTTATGTATCATTGTCATTTTGTTTATTTTCTTTGTTTACATCTTCTGACATCAGACTCGGACTTCTCTTGAACTGAATTTTAATGTGCGTATTGTTATGCGTTTACTTTTCTACATTGGCTAGAGGTATAGGGGAGGGTTGAGATCTCATAAACATGTTTAACCCCGCCGCATTTTTGCGCCTGTCCCAAGTCAGGAGCCTCTAGTCTTTGTTAGTCTTGTATTATTTTTAATTTTAGTTTCTTGTGTACAATTTGGAGTTTAGTATGGCGTTCATTATCACTGAACTAGTATATATATATATTTGTTTAGGGGCCAGCTGAAGGACGCCTCCGGGTGTGGGAATTTCTCGCTGCATTGAAGACCTGTTGGTGACCTTCTGCTGTTGTCTGTTCTATGGTCGGGTTGTTGTCTCTTTGACACATTCCCCATTTCCATTCTCAATTTTATTTTATGTGTTTGAGGTTTTGATTTTGCCATTTGCTTAAGGACTTTCCGATTTAAATTTTCCTCGGAGTTCGGTATTTTTGATATTTTACTTTTTATGACCAAACGACAGTATCCAGAGCAAAATTTCTCGTATTTAACTGATAAATGAACTTAGTTTTTTTACAGTTAACAAGTAGATACAGTCTACGGTTATAGTTTGTTACACATCAATTACTCTGTCAAACCTTCATAGAGTTTTTTGGAAAGTTTGGCAGAAGCTTTTTAATGATTGAGAGATAATGTCTGAAGCAAACCTTTTTATTTTTTTTCTGATAGATGGATTTTGTTTTTTACTTTTAACATTTACAGACAGTCTCACAGTCTGGGATTAACAGTATTGACATGATAAATTTGTAAACCTTAATAGAGTGTTATGAAACGTGGACAGGAGCTAATCTTCAAGACCAAGAAAGCATTCATTTTCTTTTAAATTCTGTATTTTACTGATGAATGAATGAACTCACTTTTTAAGTCAACATTACACTGACAGCAGAAATCGAAGGCGAGACATAGGGTTCTGCGGAGCCCCTTATGATTTTTTTTATAAAACATGTGAACTTGGAATTCGGAATATTTTTGTTAACGGATGTCTTCACTACATAGAAAACAATTGGTCGAGCTACACATTTTCACTTAAAGACGAGGATGATTTCATGTGCTTCAGAAAAGTAAGCAGATCCTTCTCCACGTGCGTTACCCCGGTGATAACTAATTTATTTAGGAGCTGATTACAAATATTGTATCAATGTCCTATAATTTTTAACTTCTATAAAAAAAAATTATATGTCATTTGGTCTCATGGCGTTCATACAACATCTCATTTTTATATTATACGTAGATCATGTTTTTTTATTACGTTCTCTGTTCACAATTTCTTTTCCTATCTATTATACTGTTATAGTTTTCATGATAAGTGCAAACGAATATACAATAAATGTGTGAAAGTTGTCATTCAAGGGAAATTTCTCCTTTACAGAGTCGATTGTCGATTTCGGTAATAGTGACTTATTTGTAGGTCTTTTTCTTGCTTCGTATTTTTCGATAGCAGATAGTTTTCACCTAAAACACAAAAGAAGAAGAAAGATATTTACTTAAAAAATGGAATTAGATAACATTTTCGACTTGTTTATTAATCTACCTCAGCTTATCATTTATGTTGCTTATAGATTCTATCTGTATTATAGGTTTTATGATTATAGGCAAACATCCGTTAACAACATCATTCAAGGTCAATAACTGCAAAAACGAATCATTTGATGATTACAACCAATACATTTATTGCCACATTGCTCAGTTAAGATGTTTACAATTTCTCTCTACCGACTAGATTTCACCGAAAAAGCTAAAAAAAAAAAAAAAAGTAGGTGAAAATTGTCATTAAAGGACAACAACTTCTGTAAAGGGTCGACTTATGATTTCGGTCATGTTTGACACTCTTGTGAATGTTTTTTTTTTTTTTTTTTTTTGCTGATCATGTAGCTGCTTATTGTTTATCTACTTTTAAAAATCTTTGTATGCAATTGGTAAACATCATAATTTAAATGCCAACTGGACGTCTTCTGAAGATTTGATAATTAACTTGAAGCTTTTTAAAACAAATAATCAACTGTAATGTTTTAACTTTTGATTTGTGTTTTGTTTTAAAAGTATATATAATTCCTTGACCCTAAATCTATCTTCGTGTCCATAATATTTTCTTTTTGTCGCTTCTTGTCGCTTATTAGTGAGAGCAGTTGTTTGTAGATTTTGTCTACCTTATAATATTTGCTGCTTAAATTTTCTATCCCTCTATTAGTTTTCAAGATATTAACAAAATAAAACTGCAAAATTTGCAAATGATAAACAATTCAGGGCCAGTAATCCCCAAACGGTTATGTCAAATTAATCTGAAAATTTAAATGTTGGTGATCTTAACCTGCTAATCATTTTAGTCCTCTTAGTTTAACGTCTTTAGTTTTAGAGACATAAGGCAACACAAATGCGTACGGGTTTCACAGGCAATATTTCTGGTGTGCCTTATCCTGTAACATGTGTAATAATGAAATAAATACCCCAAACAATTAAAAAAAAACAAACATCGAAAAAAAATTAGATATGATTGGGGTTTATGTTTAATACTACCCCATCGTACTTGTAAATATGTAGATTGAATTTAAAAATTCCCGGCTTTTATCACTTTATAAATATGTCATGTGATAAATAACCTTCCTGGTAAACCAGACGGGTCTGAATATTTCGAACTAAAAGGTAATTTTTAGGATTTATTCGATATTTCGAAGATGAATTCTACTTAAGTTACGTTTTCCATTCTCGCTAATATACTTATGACCTAATTCGTGAAATTTGTAAAAATTTGCTATTTAACTTTCGTTTTGGGCTTGGCCATTATATATATTCATCTTTATTTATGATATGGCCTATTTCTAGGTCAAGTTCATAATATCTTTGTTATCTCAGTATTAAACCAATTATTGGAACTAAATATATACACGTTTGCAGGGCCATTCATTTAGCAGATTAGGAAACGAACAAACTGTATTTGGTCTATGTATCACTGCTGTCAGTATACAGTTAAAGGTTCCCATATATTTATACCACACGTACCACCCAAAACACAAAAAAGGAAGTCTAATCACGTAAGTATAATCATTTAACATATCCTTTCTTTAATAAGAAATGATTTTTATGCCCCCGCGATAAAATGTCGAGGTGCATATTAATTGACCCCTGTCCGTCCGTCCGTCCGTTCGTCTGTCCGAATACAGATGCATGATATGTCCGGCTATCTCCTCCCATAGTTTTTCAGCAACAGCTTTAATATTTTTTTTGGTTGTACACTAAACGCTAAATGGAAGTGTTCATATCCACAGGATGTTTTTTCTTCAAATATTTTCAAAATGCCAGGTGTTTTAACTTAGTCATTTTTTTTTTGTACTCAGAAAAAAATATAAGATAGAACATCATTCATAGTATTAAATGCATAATTTCTTATGGTCAGGCGGGCGCATCATTTGTGTCTAATTTCAGGTTGTACTTTAACATCAAATCTAAAGTATGTGGAACTATACTCATGCATATGACGGAGCAGAGGGGGACATCGCCCATATCTAGTTTCTTAATTGTTTTAACATCTATTAACTATAAGATAATGTCAGGAATCGTAACGCTCTATCTTTATTGTGTATAAATACAACAAATACCTGCTAACCAATAAAAGTTGTTATTTATTCTCTTACTTTTGTAATAAAACAAAAAAGGAAATTAAAGTTTTTTATGTTTAAATGTTTCATAAGTTTATCTATTTGTACACTGTGCGAAATTTTTTTAAATATTTTTGTTCTGCTTAATTGAATTGTGACATGCGAGCAAGTTCGGGGTGTAATAAGTTGATCATTATATTTGTCTGTAATTGATTAACAACAAATATATGAACATAAACTAACTAATACTTCAATATGATGATCGATGGAAAAAGCTAGCTTGTATTAATCTCAAATCTAAATTAATTATGTGTAGCCGCTAACCCAATACGATAATTACTATGTTTCAAACAAACAATCGCTGTATTTGAGCCCCGTGATTACTTCATGTTAATGCTTCATATTCAAAGCAAATCTAAACTGAATTTATTGATATACATTTCCACTATTTTTTTTAAAAAGTTAAATGCCTGTTTTATCAATTCATAATATGTGACACTGATGCTACAAAAGCTGCAACCGTTTAATTTATTTTTAATTTCGGGCGATTAAATAACTCTTGATTGATTGAGTATTGGCACTAAACACTACTTCCAGTACTCATGGCTATATCATGAATATAAAAATAATGTGGTATGATTGCCAATGAGACAACTATATATCCACTTAGTTCAAATGAAGTGGATGTAAGCCATTACTAGTATAGGCAACCGTACGGCATTCAAAAATGAGAAAAACCCATACCGTTTAGTCGGCTATAAAAGTTCCCGACATGAAAAATAATAAACAATTCAATTGAGAAAACTAACAGCCTAATGTATATGTCAAAACCTGTTTTAATTGATGTAGGAAACCGGAGTACCCGAAGAGAATCAACGGACTTGAAAACTAAAGTAAGTCACCATGTCTGATGTTGGTTGTTGATTGGGTGCTGTTTTAATCTTTTCAATCATCTATTGCTATTTGTAGTTTGTGTTTAATGGCGACACCTACTAATAGCTGTGGTATTTGTGAACTCCGTCACATCACCAAACCATCAATTATCTGGTGTACAGAATGTGACGAGGGACTATGTATAGAATGCAAGGAACATCATAGCTTGTCTAAGTCGTCGAGAAATCATTGCGTGATACCTTTTACTGAATACGAGAAATTACCAGCTGATATACTTAAAATTACTCAGTACTGTACCAAACACGATAAAAAATATCAAATATATTGCCAGAAACATGAATTTCCTTGCTGCAACAAATGTATCGTGGAAATCCATAAAGAATGCAGAGATTTCGTCGAATTAGACGACGTCATTCACAATGTCAAAACCTCCAATGCCATGTGCGAAATAGAGGAAACATTAGTTGAAGTAGCAGAAAATTTACAGAAAATTCGTCAGCATCAACAGGACAATCTAACGACATTTAAAGAAAGTAGAAAGGAAATAGAAAAAGAAATAAAGAAAACCAGAATAAAGATCAACAACCATCTTGACAAACTACAAGAGGATTTAATGAAACAACTATATGCGATAGAAGAAAAAGAAAACTCGAAAATTTGTCAGTTATTGTCAACATTAGAAAAGAAAGAAAAGGAAATAGCAGAATGCCAGAGAAACATTATGAACATGAAGCAACATGCAACGGACCTTCAAGTCTTTCTTTCAATGAAGCAAATAGAAGAGGACGTCTATAGCAAAAATAAATTCCTACAGTTGCTTGAAGAAGGCAGAAGTTTCAAGCAAACTTCTCTTTCGTATAAGATCAACAACTCTATCCAGAATATCATGTCCGATATCAAATGTTTTGGAGAAGTGCGTATTGAAGCTAAATCTTGCGATATTGTTCTGATTAGGAAAAAGGCCAAACAAGCCCAAATGATGGTACCGACCGTTCAATCAAGATCTATTGAAAATATAACGTTAACGAAACAAAAGACCATCAACACTCAAGGAGACTGCATCACCGGATGTTGCATGCTGTCGGATGGTAGAATGGCATTTACTTACTACTTTGATTGTAAGGTAATTATACTTAACATGAAAGGAATAACAGACTTTGAAGTGAAGATGCCGTGTAACGTGTTTGATATAGTGTACATCAGTGAGGACAATACATTGGGTGTCACATCTGGTGGTTCAGGGAAGACGTGTATTACCATTATAGACTTGGAAAAGAAACAAATAAAGAAAACAATTTCACTAGATTCGACAAATTACGGCATAACATTAAAAGATAATGGATTGGTTTATTCTGCTCACAACAAAGGTATACGAATGATTAATCTGCACGACGAGTCTATTAGTGATGTAGTTCGAGACAAAATGCCCAGTAATTGTTATATTGCAACATTTAGGGACAATATATATCATACAAACTATCAAGCAAACACTGTAACGTGTTATAATCTACAAGGTGAAATACAATGGACATTCAAAAATGAAAGCGTTCTGGAGAAGCCTCGAGGTATAGATGTAGATAGTGATGGTAATGTGTACGTAGTTGGGTATTCCTCGAAGAATGTGGTAGTTATCTCCCCTGATGGACAACGACATAGAGAAGTATGGACAACGAAGGATGGTCTTGATATTCCTTTTTCACTTCATTATAGTGGACCAAGGAAACAGATGTTAGTCGCGAACTTCCATAACACTGTTCATTTGTTTAATGTTATTTGAAAAAGTTTACAGTTTAATTTTCTCTCCCTTTAGGTCATTCTGTGCAGTGTTTATAATACCTACATTTTGGAAACCTATTTTGTTACTTTCTGGCAGTAATATGATATGCAGTGTGTGTTTTAAACAGAAATCTAACATAGTTATTAAGCTTATATTATTAAACTTGTGTATTCTAATAAATTTAATGGAATGAGAACACTGGTATTATCACGAACCAGAAACGATGTTGCCAGTAAATAAATTTAATAGAAATACAAGATTTCGTGTGATTGCAAATGTGGCAACTATCAACCAGAGACATAATGACGTGGTTGTAATTATTTATAGGTTACTGGGATTATTGATACCATAAATAAACTACCACCAAATTTCTAAGATGGAAAAAGACATTATACATGACAAAATATCAATCACTGACAAATTTTCTTACTTGGGACAGGCAAATGTACATGTGGCGAAGTAAGACTAATATAAATCGCCAATGGAACAACATGAAATTATAAAATCAGTAAAAATGAATATTTACAAAATCAATGATAACGGCTGTATAATACAACTTGTAATAAATAGTAAAATAAAATACTAAACCGTATAAAGACAGTTACTGTAAACAAGTGGAATAACTTAACCTTCTAATTCGAAACCATCAATCTCTATACTGGTATAATAATATTTGTGGCTAAACTTGAGAGTAGATTGCATGTTTTGATCATTATTTGCATTTGGGATTTAAAGATTTTCATTGCAGAAACTAATGAACAAATTTAAGCTAAACGATTGGTAAACAATCATGGCTGTTTTTAATGGAAAATAAGATAAAGAATGAGGTACAAATAGTTGTCTCATATCTTGACAACTATTGTAAATAAGGAAAATCAAAAATGTAAGGTTTTGTATGTATTTTTTCACCTTCATGAGAATATATCTGTTTTTCGCGGTTTTGTTGTCTGTGGTATTAATTCAGTTTATTTTTGCAAGATATCGCTTCGTGTGTATCTCTGTAAAATATGCTATCTTATTCTATGTTGTTTATTTGCTCGATGCATGAATGCCGAAAATTTCAGCTTGAAATACTAGATAAGACAGCCGAAAGATACCAAAGGGACATCGAAATCATCAGTCGAAAACAAACTGACAACGCCATGGCTAAAAAAGAAAAAGACAAATAAACAACAGTACACAAAATACAACATAGAAAACTGAAGACTGCGCAACATGAACCCCACCAAAAAATGGGAGTGATCTCAGGTGCGCTGGAAAGGTAAGCAGGTTCTGCTCCACATGTGGCACCCGTCGTCTTGCTAATTTTAGTACAAACCACAATTCAAGCCAATTAATACCGTATCAACTGGAGATATATACTGCGGATGCAGGCGTTATTTGAATGTTACTACGTAGAAATGGAAAGTCCACAACTGGGAAGACGAACTCATCTCTCTTGTCGTAAAGTGTTGATTTTAACCAAACCTCATTGTCCATTTCTAGATGTATATCAAAACATAGAAGGCATAGTTACATGTATATGATATAATAGCATTGGTACACAAATATTCACTATTAACATTTTTAAAATCTGAAGAAAATGTCAGTTTGAAATTTTCATGCTCCCACTACACAATTTTCAGTCAAAACATAAATATGTGTCAAATATATATCGAGACCAGGTATTGATAAGCTAAGTTGTGGACAAAAATATGATAAAATGTTCTTGAAATGTATTGGCTATGCTTTTGGTTGAAATAGAAAAATCTCATCTTAACAAATTAATAATGCTATGGATTTATTGTTTTCTAAATCTTTTTTTTATCAGAATTAAAATTTATTTTCTATATTTACATCTGTGTTGTATTTCGTATCTGAACTGCATCTAGAAATCCATTGTTTGTATATTTTTATATGATCCCTAAGCTTGCATTCTATAGTTGGTTCTCTAAGCTGTTTTATCTCACCTGCAATGCTAGTCACAGTTGGTCAAAGTTTACATATTCCAGACAATGATGATGATGATGATGATATTGTCATTGCTAATAACCTCAATGTTGACCTCATTTTCATCTACGATGAGGCATGTCATGTGTAGACTTTGAACGTTCATCAATTTAACCTGACCTGACCTCGACCTCATTTTCATGTTTTAGTGGACAGGGTTAGTTAGGTCATAATTTTTGTATGTTTATATTTTCAAAGAAGATATATCTGTCTGACATATGTTTTATGGTCTTGTCCTATTTTTGTTACAGCAAACAGGATAATTTTACTAGAATGGTCTTTTTTCAGCAACTATACATGATAGAGGATATATCCGTGACATGTCATAGGGCCATGAAATTTTTAGATTGCATAAGTCGCCATGTCAAGTTTACAGTTATGAGTCTGTTCCTTAAGAACTTTACATGACAGGTCAACTTCATTTGGTTCGAAGATTGTATGGGAGAAGCAGATGTTTATCTGAAATATTTAATATTAACTTGACCCGAATTTTAGATTCCAATTATGGTTTCATAATGAGGTATGTTTCTCTCGGAATATATCCGAAGATATATTGACAAATTTAATATGTGGATTGTTTGTAAGGAAGATATGTCTGCTTTACATATGTCATATGACCACGACAGCAGAAAAAAGCCCAAGGCCACCAATGGGTCTTTAACATAGCGAGAAAATCCCACACACGGAGGCGGGCTTCAATGGCCCCTAAACACAAATGTGTACTAGTTCAGTGAAAATGGACGTCACACTAAACTCAAAAACATATAAATGAACTTAAATTAAAAAAACATACAAGACTAACTTGATGTCCATCTCACTAATGGCATACTAGTATATGAATTGACCTTATTTTCTCCCTTTATTTTTTTTTTGGTTGTTTGTCAGGTAATTTTTATTCTATTAGGTATGCATCTCATAAATTACACATGAGAAATAAAAGATATCATACATGTAACTGTATTTCATATGCATGAATGTGAGTTTCAGCATTGATTTCAGTTTGAAAGTCATTATGGCACAGGTAAAAGTCGAAAACCTAGAGATGATGATGCAGACTCATAAGGTAACAGACTGCAGGATGACATCTCACTCTACTCGGACACATCATTCTAACTCAGGGCAAACCAGGATTTACTCTTACTCTAAAATGATTAAAAGCTAGTATCTAGAAGGAAATTTTGTTAAAATTTTGTTCCATTTTTTCCGTATTTTTCTTATAAATGGACTTAGTTTTTCTTCCAGTTAACATTACATACAGTCTGCAGTTTAAGTTTTTAAAACATTTATTAGATTCATAAACTATCCTGGATTTTTACCAAACTTGGACAGAAGCTACTTATTTTTATTAATTTTTTTCCTCATTTTTGTTGAGCCTGCGATTAACAGCAAAAGTAGGCGAGACACCGTGTTCCGTGGATCATATTTGCTGTTCTCACTATCTTCTAATCTCTTATAGTTCCAAAATTTTTAAAAAAACAAACAAAAAAAGCGAGACATAGCGATTCTAGATTCTATTGGCGTCGTCAACATTTAGGTTCAGTATGTGGTTAAAGTTTTTTAAACATCAATAACTTTGTCAAATCTACATGGAATTTTATGAATTTGGACAGAAGCTTGTTTATGGTCAAAAGACAGTACCCAGAGAGAAATTTTGAAAACAACATTACGTATTTTACTGATAAATAGACAAAGTTTTTTACAGTTAACATTCATATTTAGTCTGAGGTTAACGTTTTTCAGTCATCAATAACTTTGTCAAACCTTCATGGAAATTTTATAAAATTTGGACAGATGTTTGTTTATGACCAAAAGACAGTATCATGAGCGAAATTTTGAAAATGTTTATTTTCAATTTTCTATATCTTACTGATAAAAGGACATAGTTTTTTACAGTTACCGTTCAGATTTAGTCTGAGGTTTAAGTTTTCAGTCATCAATAACTTTGTCAAACTTTCATGGAAGTTTATGAAATTTGGACAGAAGCATGTTTACGACCAAAGACAGTATCCAGAGCAAACTTTTGAAATCATTTATTTTCATTTTCCCGTATTTTACAGATAGGTGAACTTAGTTTTTTTACAGGTAACAAGTACACGAAGATACAGTCGGGGGTTAAAGTTTGTTACACATCAATTACTCTGTCAACCCTTCATAGAGTTTTTTTTTAAATTTAGGCAGGAACTTTTCAAGGATTAAGAGATAATGTCTGAAGCAAACCTTTTTTAGTATTTTTCTGATAGATGGACTTGCAAACCTTCATGGATTGTTACGAAACTTGAACAAAACAGAAGCTAATCTTCTAGACCAAGATAGCATCTAAAGAATTCTTTAAATTCTGTGTTTTTCTGATAAATGAACTCACTTTTTAAGACAACGTTACACTTAATTACTGACGACAGAAATCACAGGCGAGACATAGGTTTCAATGTGCACGTGGAATTAGGTGTGTATGTTTGTTATTCAAAATTTATTAAAAGGGTTGATGTAACGGATGTTTTCACTACATAGAATACAAAAGGTCGAGCTACACATTTCCCCTAAAAGACGAGGATGATCTCATGTGCTTTCAAAATTTAAGGTAAGCAAATTCTTTTCCACATGCGTTACCCCGGAGATAACCAATTTATTAAGGAATTAGTTACACATATTGTAACATTGTCCTATAGCTATTAACGTCAATATTTATATGTCATTTCGTCTCATGGCATTCATACATCATCTCATTTTTATATTAAATGTAGATCCTGTTTTTATTACCTTCTCTGTTCAAAATTTATTTTTCTATCTGTAATACTGTTAAGTGCAAACGAATATACATGTGTGAAAGTTGTCATTGAAGGGAAATGTCTCCTTTACAGAGTCGATTGTCGATTTCGGTAATATTGATTTATTTGAAGGCCTTTTTCTTCTTCATATTTTTCGATATCATATAGTTTTCGGCTAAAACACAATAACAGGAAAGAAGAAGAAGGATATTGACTTATATATGGAATCAAATAACATTTTCGACTTGTTTATTAATCTACCTAAGCTTATCATTTATGTTGCTTTAAGATTCTACCTGCTAATCATTTTATCCTCTTAGTTTAACTTCTTTAGTTTTAATGAAATAAGGCAAAAATACAACTGCATGCGGGTTTCACAGGCAACATTTCTGTTTTGCCTTATCCTGTAAATTGTGTAATTATGAAATTAATACCACAAACAATTTAAAAAACAAACATCGAGAGAAAAAATGACTAGGGTTTATTTTTAGTACAACCCTATCGTACTTGTAAATATGTAGATTGAATTTGATATTCCCGGCTTTTATCACTTTCTAAATCAGTCATGTGATTATTAACCTTCCTGATAAAACCCAGACGGGAATGAATATTTCAATCTAAAAGGTAATTGTAAGGATTTATTTGATATTTCAAAGATAAATTCTACTTAAATTACGTTTTCCATTCTCGCTAATATACTTATGACCTAAATACGTGAAATTTGTAAAATGTGTTATTAAACTTTCGTTCTTGGCTTGGCCGTAATATATATTTTAGGTTAGGGGGAGGGTTGGGATCCCGCTAACATGTTTAACCCCGGCCATTCTGTATGTATGTGTGTGCCTGTCCCAAGTCAGGAGCCTGTAATTCAGTGGTTGTCGTTTGTTTATGTGTTATATATTTGATTTTCGTTCATTTTTTTTGTACATAAATTAGGCAGTTAGTTTTCTCGTTTGAATTGTTTTCCATTGTCATTTCGGGGCCTTTTATAGCTGACTGTGAGGTGTGGGCTTTGCTCAGTGTTGAAAAACGTACGGTGACCTATAGTTGTTAATTTCTGTGTCATCTGGTCTCTTGTGGAGAGTTGTCTCATTGGCAATCATACCACATCTTCTTTTTAATATTATCTTTATCTTCCTAGGTCAAGATATTGTCCTCGTTCATAATATATTTGCTATCTACACGATATTGTATATAATTGTACCAATCCTTAGAACTAATTATGCATACACGTTCACGGGTCCATTCATTTAGCAGGTTAAGAAAACGATACTGTATTTGGTATATGTATTACTGCTATCAGTACACTACCTTTCCCTTTTCACGAATATGACCTACCGAATAATGAATAATTAGACTACTTACCAGATTTGTAATAACATAAGCAACACGGCGGGTGCCACATGTGGAGCTGGATCTGCTTACCCTTCCGGACCACCTGAGATCACCCCCAGATTTTGGTGGGGTTCGTGTTGCTTAGTCTTTAGTTTTCTATGTTGTGTCATCTGTACTATTGTTTGCTTGTTTGTCTTTTAATTTTTGGCCATGGCGTTGTCAGTTTGTTTTCGATCTGTGAGTTTGACTATACCTCTGGTATCTTTCGTCCCTTTTTTCAAAATTTATAAACGGGCAATTCTAGATAATTTGTTTTAAATCATGTCAGTATAGAAGTACTGACTACCGAGTTGATGATACCCTTTGGGACTGATAGTCCACCAGCAGAGGTATCGACTCACTGCTGTAAAAATGAAAACAACACAATCTAAATTGCATGCGTCCAAAGCGCTTTTCTGGATTTACCTTCATCAGGAACGCTTAAAGCCAAATATTTGAAAGCCAAGGAGAAAATGCCACCTAAAACGATCCACAAATTATAAGGTGATTATATTTGCTGTTCATTCTATTTTTTAATCGCTTATAGCTCCAAAGATTAAAAAACCCAAAAAATCAAATTCATGAGTATTTTGAAAATTTTTATTTGAGAAAAAAAAGGGAACAGAAGTAGCTTTATATTTTTGAAAAAAATATAGAATAAGGTATGTATTTAGTTATTCCAAATTTATCAAAAGAGTTGATGTTATGG